AATTTATGTTTTTCTTTATTTTATGCTTCTGGGTCCATTTTTTAAAGGCCTTTATTTTTTTCGAGAAGTTTTAAGTTTACAGCAAACTGGAGAGGAAGGGACAGAGATTTCCCATATATCCCCTGCCCACACACATGCATGGCATCCCCAGTTATCAACATCAGTCACCAGAATGGTTCATTTGTTACCAATGATGAACCTACATTGACACCTCATAATCAGCCAGACTGTTTACCTTAGAGTTCACTCTTAGTGTTCTATGGATTTGGACATTCTATAGATTTGGACAAATATATAATGACTTTATCCATCATTATAATACAAAGAGCATTTTCACTGCCCTGAAGATCTGTGCTCTGCCTATTAATCCCTCCCTCCTTCCCCCAGCCCCAGTAACCACTGATCTTTTTATTGCCTCTGTAGTTTTGCCTCTTCTGGGGTGTCTTATAGTTAAGTCATACATCATGTAGCCTTTTCAGATTGGCTTATTTTACTTAGTGATAGGCTTTTAAGATTTCTCTATGTCTTTTCATGGCTTGATAGTTCGTTTTTTTTTTAGTGCTGAATAATACTCTATTATTTGGATGTACCACAGTTTATCCATTCACCCATTGAAGATAATCGTAGTTGCTTCAAGTTTTATGAATAAAGCTGCTGTGAACTCTATGTGCAGGTTTTTGTGTGGACATAGTTTTCAACTCCTTTGGAAAAATACGAGTGCAATTGCTGGATTGTATAGTATGTTTAGTTTTATAAGAACCCACCAAACTGCCTTCCAAAGTGACTGTACCATTCTGCATTCCCACCAGCAATGTATGAGAATTCCTGTTGCTCCACATCCTCATCAGCCTTTGGCGTTGTCATTGCTCCACGTTTTTGCTATTCCAATACATGTAAAGTGGTATCTCAATGTTTTCATTTGCATTCTGATGACATAGTATGTGAACCATCTTTTCATATGCTTATTTTCCATCTGTATATCTTCTTTGGTGAGGTGTCTGTTAAGGTCTTTGGCCCATTTTTGTAATCAGGTTTTTTGTTCTCTTATTGTTGACTTTTAAGAGTTTTTTGTATATTTTGGATAATAAGTCGTCATCAGATGTGTCTTTTGCAAATATTTTCTCCCAGTCTCTGGCTTGTCTTCTCATTCTCTTGACTTTGTCTTCTGCAGAGCAGAATTTTCTAATCAGGTTCAGCTTATTACTTTCTTCACAGGTCGTGTCTTTGGTGTTATATCTAAACAGGCATCACTACACCCAGGGTCATCTAGGTTTTCTCCTGGGTTATCTTCTAGGAGATTTGCAGTTTTGCATTTTATGGTTAGGTCTGCCATCCATTTAAGTTAATTTTTGTGAAGAGTGTAAGGTCTGTGTCTAGTTTTTTTTTGTTTTGTTTTTTGTTTTTTTTGCGTGTGGACATCCAGTTGTTCCAACACCATTTGTTGAAGAGACTGCCTTTTTTTTAAAGGATTTATTTATTTATTTATTTTTTATTCATTCGAGACACAGAGATACAGAGAGAGAGATAGAGAGAGAGCATGAGCAGGGGGAGAAGCAGAGGGAGGGGGAGAAGGAGACTCCCCACCGAGCAGGGAGCCCGATGTGGGGCCCGATCCCAGGACCCTGGGATCATGACCTGAGCCGAAGGCAGAAGCCTAACCATCTGAGCCACCCAGGTGCCCCTGAAGAGATTGTCTTTGCTCCATTGTGTTGCCTTTGCTTCTTTGTCAAAGATAACTTGACTTTATTTATGCGGGCTTATTTCTGGGCTCTCTGTTCCATGAATCTATATTTTTATGCTTTGGCCAATTCTACACTGTCTTGATTACTGTAGCTTTCTAGTAAGTCTTGAAGTTGGGTAGTGTCAGTCCTCCAGCTTTGTTCTCCTTAAATATTGTGTTGGCTATTCTAGGTCTTTTCCCTCTCCATATAAATTTTAGAATCATTTTAATGAACTACCTGAAATTTCAAAAAAAATTTTAAATAATATGTCATAGAAATGTATTTAAATGTGAACATAATTATGTATCCACAATATTTACAAATATGTATCCACAGTACTTACTAAAAGGAATAGCTAATGAACATCTGTTGGTTAAGAATCCAAATTATGCCGTCCAAAATGGCGTGGTGTCTGGTGCTTGACCAAAAGGTGGCTACTGTGGGGAGTCTTTCTTCCTGCTGATACCACCTGCAAAGCAGTGACCTGATTCCAGGTGATCGCTTGGTCCGAACTAGAATTTTGGGAGGAACACTAGTACCCAGGTCTCACCCAGGAATATGACGCTTTTTCTAGGTTTGGTTGATGATGTGGGGCTTCTTAATGCATTCCAGGATTTTGTGAAGATTGATCGAAGAATTGTAAAAGGAAGGTTTTATTATTTGACAGCTAAACAGACCCCAGGAGACACACCTTCACAGTAACCTCTATGAATACCTGCTGTTAGGTAAATGCAAATGGCTTACCTAATGCAGTAGTTCTCAAAGCATCACTGGAAACCAGGTGGAAATGCAGATTCTCAGCCCCACCCAGACCTACTGAGTGGAAATTCTGTGGGTAGGGCCCAGCAGTCTGGGTTTTTAAGAAAACCCCTCTGATGGGTGTTGAATCAGTAACTGTTGACGTCTTGATGAGTTTGAAGTATCTGTGGTGTGACATTAATGTGAGGTGGGTTCAGACCTGTAGGAATGAGCCTTGTGTGGCTGTGGGAAAAGGCTAGGGATGATGGAAACCTTGCTTGCAAAAATCTGCTCCACCTGTTGTTAACATTTTATGCATTTGTGCTATTATAATGTGTTTTCTGAAGAATCTGAACCAAACAGCATATTTCTTTAAATGATGAAAAAGAGGATCCTGCTGTGGTGTTGTTTTTCCCTGATCTGTGATGAGTCTCCTGAGAGCCCAGGGGCCTTCCCTGAGGTGCATTTAAGGTGTAGGATCACAGAAGTGGGTGAAGTTCATAGCAGACTGTCAGACATCAGTCTATTCAAGGCAGCCCTGAGGACTTAGCTTGCTAGAAAGGCTAGAGGGGTCTCAAGAAAGAAAAAACATTTTTAAAATGTTGCCTGCCTGCCCCCAGGGGTGATTTGAGGAGAAAAGTAATTTTATCCAGTTTTGTCATTTTTTTTGAGATACAGATTCAGAAGTAAGGATGTTTCCATTTAAAAGAAATTTGTGAAGTGGGGCGCCTGGGTGGCTCAGTCAGTTAAGCATCTGCCTTCGACTTAGGTCATGATCCCAGGGTCCTGGGGTCAAGCCCTACGTTGGACTCCCTACTCACTGGGGAGTCTGCTTCTCCTTCCTCTCCCTCTGCCCCTGGTTGTGTGCTCTTGCTCACTCTGTTTCTCAAATAAATAAATAAAATCTTAAAAAAAAAAGAAATTTAAAAAAAGAAAAAAGAATTTGGGTTTTTTATTTGTTTATTTTATTACATGTGGAATCATAAAGAGTGCTTTAATTCCTTAAGGACAAAATACTAGTGTGGTATCAGGAAGCCATGTTTTAAAGCATCCGAGCCACTAGGTAAATCTTCAGTCAGCCCCACATGATCAGGGGATGTAAGAAAATGTGTAATTGGTGTTAGGGAAGACATCCTAAAGCAGAGAAAATTTAAAGCAGAGAAAAAGGGTTGAAATTAAACAGACCTACCCCTCAAGGATTAGAAGGAACACAGATCTGTCAGGTTAAAGACCCGCAAGAAGTTGGAGATATAAATGTGATCAGGAAAACTAAGATAAGGAAGATGCCACTCCTTGCCTTTGCATGGTGGTGCTCTTGTGTCCCTTGTGTGGTCTCAGCAATAACCCTGACATGGGGAAGGCATGATTACTGGTTCCCCTTTGCAGATGAACAGGCTGAGGTTCAGTGAGATTAAACGGTGGTGGTGGTGGCAGCTGCCTTTGACTGAATAGTAATTTGTGTATTCATTCAATAAATCTTTACTGAGGACCGACTATGTGCGGGGCCCTGTTCTATACAGTAGTTGACAAAGCAGACAAAACTCTATGCCTTCATGGAGCTGACATTCTGGTAGGGGAAAGCAGACAATAAAAGGGATAAAGCAATAAATTATGTACCATGTTAGGTGTGTTTTCTTCAAAAGTCCTGAGGAGAACAATGAAACAGGGAAGGGGAGCTGGTTTAAATTGTAAACAGGGTGGCTAGATGGGTTTTGAAGAGAGGGGGAGTGTGACCTGCTGAAGTTAACAAGGTCACTCTGGCTGCTCTCTTGAGGACAGACTGAATTATGGGTCAGGCACAGAATTAGTCTGTATATAGGCTTGCAGGTCATCTTTGCAATGACTGCGGGGCAGATGTGAGTCTCAGAGATGTTAGTAAATGTGCTTAAGATCACAGAGCTGGGAAGTGCCAACAACTCTGTCCAACATGTGTGTGGATTTTATGACCATGCAGTCAGACCAGCTGCATTTCTTAGGAGGGAGGAGGCCAAAATGTGTAAAGGAGCTTTGTTCTTGACACTTGTTTTTGGGACAGCAGTGAATTAAGATTTGGATAAAGGATTAGCAAAGTGTGTGCACAAAGCAAAGCAAATTGAAAATCTAGCTGTGGATAGAGAGGTCTGAAAAGTTTCTTGCAAGCTAAGGAATTATCAGCATAGCAGAGTTAAAATGCATACAGTAACATGGAAATTTTTTTATCCAGTGTGAAGTCTTTCCTGTTGAGAGGCTGTATGTGTGGTGGTGAAGAGCACAAATTCTGGAGTGAAAGGTGTGAGTTCAAATCCCAGCGCCACTATTTAATAGCTGTGTGACTGTAGGCAAATTATTTGACTTCTCTTTGCCTTCATTTTCTAATCTGTAAAATGGGAATAATAGATGAAACTAAACACGTTTTTCCCATATGGTCCAGCAGTCATGCTCGTTGGTGTTCCTGTAGGAGCGGAAAAACCTATGTGCACACAAATACCTGCACATGAATGCATACAACCGCTTCATTCATAACTGCCAAGCCTTGGAAGCAAGTTAAATGTCTTTCAGCAGGTGACTGAATAAATTGTGATTCATCAAGATAAAGGAATATTATCCAGCACTAAGAAGAAACGGACTGCCAGGCCATGAAGATGTGTAGAAACCGTAAATGCATTATCACTAAGTGAAAGACGCTAATCGGAAAAGGTGACATACTGTGATTCCAATTATATGACATTCTGGAAAAGGCAAATCTGTGGAGACAGTGAACAGATCAGGAGTTGTTGGGGTGGGGCAGAGAAGGAGATGACTGGGCAGCAAAAATTCTCTTGTGTGGTCCTGTAATGGCAGATACATGTCCTTATTCATTTATCCAAATCCACAGAGTATCCAGCACCAAGAGTGATGCCTAAGGTAAACTGTGGACTCAGGGTGATGATGATGTGTCCATGTGGGCTCATCAGCTGTAACAAATGTGCTATCGGGTGGGGGTGTTGATAGTGAGGGAGGCCGTGCATGTTGGGGTGGGACAAAGGGTACAGAGGAATTCTCTATACCTTCCACTTAGTTTTGCTATGAACCTAAAACTGCTCTAAAAATACACTGTTTTAAATAATGCAATATATGTTAAGAAAAAAAAAAGAAGAGGAAGGTAGCGGGAGGGGAAGAATGAAGCGGGGGAAATCGGAGGGGTGGACGAACCATGAGAGACGATGGACTCTGAAAAACAAACTGAGGGTTCTAGAGGGGAGGAGGGTGGGAGGATGGGTTAGCCTGGTGGTGGGTATTGAGGAGGGCACATTCTGCATGGAGCACTGGGTGTTATGCACAAACAATGAATCATGGAACACTTCATCTAGAACTAATGATGTAATGTATGGGGATTAACATAAGAATAAAAAAATAAATAAAAAAAATACACTGTTTTTTAAAATTAGAATAATAGTAGTACTCAGCAAATGGTGGTGTGGTGAGGATTATGAGTTAAGACAAGTAAGGGACTTGGAACAGTGCCTGGCGTGGAGTAAGCTTATGTGTTTTAGTTATTATTAATATATTATTTGTGGGGGCACCTGGGTGGCTCAGTTGGTTAAGCGACTGCCTTCGGCTCAGGTCATGATCCTGGAGTCCCGGGATCGAGTCCCGCATCGGGCTCCCTGCTCGGCAGGGAGTCTGCTTCTCCCTCTGACCCTCCCCCCTCTCATGTGCTCTCTCATTCTCTCTCTCTCAAATAAATAAATAAAATCTTTTAAAAAATATATATATATTATTTGTGAACATAAAAGTATGTAGCTTTCATAAGTTCACTCACATACTTGGAGATCTCTATTTTTGCCCATACAAACTTCAATTTTTCAACCTCAAATTCTACCACAATTGCCATGTAGAAGTAATGCTCTTGGCCCATGTCTTTAGTGTGGGCAGAGGGCCTCTTGCAGCAGGAGGAGCCGGAGCGCGGGTTGACTCCTCCCCAGGTGTCCCACCTCAGACATCTTGACCCTGATGCCCGCGGAGCACACGTGCTCTGCACGCCAGGAGGGGTGCTGCTGCGCGTCTCTCCTGCCAGCGCGTCTCACACCGCCACCACCCATTGTCCCCAAAAGTGCACGTGCGGGCTTCTTGTCTGAAGACAGAAGGAAAGCAGTGACCTTAGAACGCCTCAGGTCACCACAGAGCCTGTCTCTCTGTGAAATGGCTTTTTATGAAGGAGAACATTCTTTATGTCAAACTCTTACTTCCTGACAACTCTTCTGAACAGTATGAGTGATCGTCTGTAGCTGTTCTGAGTTTTAAGTATTGTGTACTAATTAGTGAGCCTGTGATTAATCCTAAATGTTGAGTCATTTTGAGGAACATCTTGGGATGAAAGCAAATTGTAGGATAGAGCGAGCAAAATATCTGTCATTAGCAGCAGGAAATGAAATTAAGTAAGATGATTACACAGTGAAATGACAGGATTACTGTTCAAACCCTGTTTCTCCTGACTCTGCAACCAGGCACGTGAAATGAATTCAGTTGTGAATGAAGTTGCTGTTTCATAAATCTTCTTGAGAAAGTCAACCATTACTAACTACCGGCAGGACTGTTTTCTAGGTAGTGAAGGGAATATTTATAGTCTTATAAAATACTATGATATTGGTTTGCAAATTAAAATAACAGTAATATATTGGATACCTGTATGCCAGACATTGTGCTAGAAACACACACACAACTGTTCTTTATCCTCACAACAAGCTGAGAAAGATACAATCCTCATTTTACAGAAGAGAACATTGAAGCTATACGAAAACCGGTTTGTATAGCTGGCAGTGAAGAGTCACAGTTTAAACGCAGAACTTCTGCCTGTGCAATACAGCTTAGCCTAGTTGGGCCGTCTGTAATTGGTCAGTTATATACCGTTGGACTACACATCCATGTTTTTATGCGGAGTTAGGACACAGAGAACACTCTTGCAGAGTCCGCTGGAAGCTGGAAGCTGAAGCGGAACAGTAGTGGGGACTGGTGTTTGGGCCGAGAGGAGGGCTGTTTACTTTGCCAAGAAGCGGCACTGGGGCTGCTAGACTGTTTAGATCAAAGCAGGTGATGAGCACCTGCAAGGAGAAGGGAGAAGAGCCCGCACTGGTGCTTTCGCTTTTCTGTTTTAACTCACAGACTTTGATGGGTCTGGAAATAATGTTTCCCAAACTGATGTTTATTGGATGTCTCAGATCTTTGAAAATTCATAGTTTAACTCTAAGCATATACTAACTCTCAGGTAATTAGACCATTAAAGAAAACGTTCCATTTTTCCACTGTTTTTCCTAGGTTAGAAGAATTGCTTTTTCATAAAAAGCATGTATTCATGTTATTTGACAAAAATACAGTATTTAAGCCATACAAAGTAGATGATTTACAAAGAAAGAGAGCTTTTACTATTTTTAAGATGACTTTTATTGTCACATTTGGATACATATGATATTCTTTGAAGATGGGCCATTTAAAAAAAAATATTTTATTTATTTGATAGAGAGACACAGCGAGAGAGGGAACACAAGCAGGGGGAGTGGGAGAGGGAGAAGCAGACTCCTCGCTGAGCAGGGAGCCCGATGCGGGGCTCCGTCCCAGGACCCTGGGATCACGACCTGAGCCGAAGGCAGATGTTTAACGACTGAGCCACCCAGGCGCCCTATTAAGTTTTAAATTTTAATTCCAGTATAGTTAACACACAGTGTTATATTAGTTTCAGGTGACAATACAGTGATTCAACTTCTATACAATACCCGGTGCTCATCATGACAAGTGCCCTCCTTATTCCCCGTCACCTGTTTCCCCATCCCTCACCCACCTCCCCTCTGGTACCATCAGCATGTTCTCTATAGTTAAGAGTCCGTTTCTTGGTTTGTCTCTCTCTCTTTTCCTTTGCTCTTTGTTTCTTATTTCCCACACAAGATTTCATTCTTTCTAATGGCTGAATAATGTTCCACTGTGTGTGTGTGTATGTGTACATAAATGAACATCACATAGGCAGACTCTCAAAAACTAATCTTTTTTTGTCCCCAGCAGACTACCATGCCTGCAGGAATCTTGCCTGAAAATGAAGAACCGTATTCCACTTCGGTGAATGACAGCACACATGCTGCCGACATGAAAGGTGAGAGGGCTTTGATGTACTTGCCTCTTTGTGCCAAGCGGCATCTAATAAAATGGTGTGAGTAGACATGACAGAAGGCTCGAGGCCTCATACCAGGATCCCAAGTGCAGCTGCTGTTTATGGCTTTTGTTTATTTCTGCCTCCCTGTTTTGACCTGTTAAAATTCCTTTTCATAATCCTGAATAGCAGGTCTTTTGAGGAGGAACGTTGAAAACAATGTTTGTCTCCTGCATTATCCTCTCATCAAACGCCTCCTGTGAGTCACACTTTCCTTTCTTTCCTGTCTCCTTCCTCGGGAGTGACACTTCGACGCGTGTCCAGAAGCACGGGGCGCCTGCGCCTCCCAGTCTGTTTCTCTCCTCTGTCCCGTCCCATGGTCTCGAGCTTTCACACGGCAGCCCAGGCAGGAGGGGTGCTGCCCGGGGCTCTTGCTGCCGGACGTGCCCTCACTCCTTTGCCTGCCACAGGTGCTGAGCCGGGGCACACCCCAACTTCCTGCCACGTTGGCACCACAGGCCCTGCGGCTGCCGCCAGCGGAGAGCCGGATGTTGAGTCACTTTTCTTGGCAGTGCCCTTTGCGTGATTTTCCCACTGGCTCTTTTAGGTTTGCCCTGTTCACTTTCGTGTTCCTGTGCAGGGAACTTTGAAGGACTGTCCCCCGAAGTGGGATGACATGATGTAAGGGCCTGAAGGGAGTACCTGGCTCTCGGTGCGTTGTGCTCTTGTAGGAATCCAGCCACGTCACCAGGGGGTGCTGTCTCTCGCCGGGAGAAGGAGCGTCTCCCTCCTGAGACCTCGCCCGAATTCCAGGTCCTCGCAGATCCCCCTCCTTCTCTCTGTGCTGTGCCTGACTCTGGGGGCACCGGGACGCTTGCTGGCCACCGTTTGTGGACAGCGTCTGTGTGGCAGACTTACGGTGTGTTGGCTGCCCTGGTTTGAGAAGGAAGCCTGTCTAAAACCGATGCAGGAACGGTGCCTACTTGCCGCTTACGTTGTAGAGTGATGTGTGTTTTGCTAAGGGACTCCAGCTAGCGATGTAAGGGTCAGACAGACCTTTCCCCCTCTGCCTTCTTCTGTCGAAATGTCACCTCGTAGCTGGGGTTTCCCACCAGCGGTTCTCTGGGCTTCTGAGGCGGGCAAGTCTTGAGTGTACAGGGGAGCGCCGGGTGCGGAAGAAAGCATCCCTGCACCCCCCCAGCGTCCAGTTACGTCCCCAGACTGTAGTGACCCCCCCATCATCCAGTCACGTCCCCAGACTGCGGTGACCCCCAGAAAGCCTGACACGTTTCCAGCTGCCCAGGGAGCGCTGTACTGGCTGTGTGTGATCTCTCGCTGAGTTGTTTTACCTTTTGTGGTTTTTTTAAAGATTTTATTTATTTATTTGACAGAGAGAGACAGTGAGAGCAGGAACACGAACAGGGGGAGTGGGAGAGGGAGAAGCAGGCTTCCTACAGAGGAGGGAGCCCGATGCGGGGCCCGATCCCAGGATCCTGGGATCATGACCTGAGCCGAAGGCAGATGCTTAACAACTGAGCCACTGAGGCACCCCAGTTTTACCTTTCCTAAAACCATCTTTGTCGTTGAAATTTTCCCCATTGTATAAATGTAGCTAATATTTAATTAGGAAAAATCTGGAAAAATAAGAAACTTTACATCTAACTTTTTTAGAGTGAGGCTCGTCTATAAAGGTAGTCAGTTATACTTTATTGGGTTAACATTGGGATGGGAAGTATTTTTTTATTAGTGGCTAATGAATCATGGGAAAATTAGGGGGTACATAAATAAAGTTTTTAAGTTATTTGTGAAGGAAAAGTAGTAACATGTTACAGATCTGTAGTGCAGTATCATAGCCTGGATGTCGACATTGTTACAGTGAAGATGAGAGCACTGGGGGCACCTGGGGGCGCAGTCAGTTAAGGGTCTGACTCTTGGTTTCGGCTCAGGTCATGATCTCAAGATTGTGGGATTGAGCCCCGCGTCGGGCTCTGTGCTGGGTGTTGAGCCTGCTTGAATTCTTTCTCCCTCTGCCCCTGCTCACTCATGCACTCTCCCCCTCTCTCTCTCTAAAAAAAAAAAAGGATACAGGACAGCGCCGTCACTACAAGGACCCCTCCTGTTGCCTTGGGTAGCCAGACCCGTGAGTCTGGCCCCTGACAAGTACTGTGACAGCGAAAGCACAAGCAACAAAAGGAAGAAGTCGGTAATTCAGACTTCATCAAAATGTAAAACTTTTCCGCATCAAAAGATGCCATCAGCAGAAAGAAAAGTCAGTCTGCAGAATGGGAGAGACTGTTTGCAAATCACATATCCATCTAATTAGGAAGTAGGCTCCAGAGTATGAAGAGAATCCTAAAACTCAGTGAGCAAACGCAAACAACCTGATCCAGAAAGTGACTCGAGTAGACGTTTGTCTGAAAGGACACACAGATGTCCAATATGCACGTGAGAAGCTCCTTCTAACCATTATAGACATGCAGACCAAAACCACAGTGAGATGCCGGGCATATCCGTTCGGATGGCTGTTCTCAAACAAACCAGAAATAACAAGTGTCGGCGAGTCGATGGAGAAACGAGCCCAAGTACGTTGCTGCTGGTGTAAATTATGGTGCAGCCACTGTGGAAAACAGTATGGCAGTTTCTCAAAAAAATTAAAAAAGAATTACTCTGGGGATGCCTGGGGGGCGCAGTCAGTTAAGGGTCTGACTCTTGGTTTCGGCTCAGGTCATGATATCGGGGTCCTGGGATCGAGTCCCGCATCGGGCTCCCTGCTCGGTGGGGAGCCTGCTTCTCCCTCTGCCTGCTGCTCCCCCTGCTTGTGCGCTCGCTCTCTCCTCCACCCTCGCCGACAAGTAAATGAAATCTTAAAACAATAAAATAAAAATACAAAAAAAAGAATGACTCCGTGGTCCAGCGGTTCCATGGGACAGAAAGCGGGGATCAAGCCAGTGCCACCGTGTTCACGATAGCCAAAAGTGGGAACCAACCCACAGAGGTGGCACGTACATGCAGTGGGAGCTGACTCAGCCCGAGAAAGCCTGACACCTGCTACAGCGTGGGTGGACCGTGAGGACACGATGCTGAGTGAGATCAGCCAGACACAGGACAAACAGTCCGTGAGTCCACGTCTGTGAGGGACCCAGAAGGTCAGAAAGTAGAGGGGCGCCAGGCACTGGGTCGGGGGAGATGGGGAGCTGGTGTTTAATGGGGACAGAGTTTGGGTTTAGGAAGATGAAGAGGTTCTGGAGACGGACAGTGGGGACGTACTTAATGCTAGTGTAGTACTGTACATTTGAAAGTGGCTAAAATGGCCTATTTTGTGTCATAGGTATTTTACCACAGTTAACAAAAGGAAAAAGGAGCGCGCTCTCTCTTCCTCTTCTTTTCCCTTCCCTTCCCGAACAAGTCAGTCCCAAGCCCCTGGCAGGGCCACGAAGAGTAGGTGCGCACCAGAGGGTGGGCGAGGCTGTGGTGCTGGAGCCCGGGCAGCGTGGGGGGCGGCAGCAGTGATGACGGCGTGCGGGGTGACGGCTGTGCGAGGCTGGCCACACTCTGCTGTGAGGGCACTCGGCGGGGCCAGAGCCTCGGGTGAGGTGAAGAGGGTTCCTGCATGGCCGGCGGCCCCACGTGGAGTATCCGAACACGGGCAGCGCGTCAGACTGGCTGGGGTGTTAGAGCCCACGGGGCGGGTGTGGATCCACATCGAGGAGGGGGCAATGGCAGTGAGGGGGAGATCGGTCACACAGAGCGGCCCGGTTAAAGATGACGGTAGCAGAGGCGGAGGGACCGTGTGTGTTGGATTGGACTTGCTGTGTAGGGTGAACTCTTGGTTTTCAGTTTGTATACGTATGCGTGCATATGGAGATAGACGTGGACCCGAACGTGCGGAGTGTGCGTGTCTCCAGCACACGTGTCTTCACTGTCTGCTGAGAGGGCCTGCTGGCGGCTGCACCCCGCACCCAGACTTCCTTCCTAAGCGCCGTTCTTCAGCCGTGAGGGCTCTTCGTGGGGAAACAGATACATTCTGCAAAATAACGGGCCTACACTCTTCAGAAGTCAAGGAAGGATGGAGGAGCTTGCTCTGGAGTGAATGAGTGAGACACGGGCAGCCGCTACAATGTGGTTCTGACGTGGTGTGATTTGCCGTTAGGAGCACTGAGATCATCAGGGAAGCTTGAGCGAGGTCTGAGGGACAGAAGCAACTAGTCATGTATCAGTTGTAATCTGTAGATTTGGGGGAATCTAGAGGATGTCTTTGTTTATGGGAAATATACGCTAAATTATTTGAAGTAATAGGACAGCATGTCTGCAGCTTATTCTCAGGTGGTTCAAGAAAAAATACCTTATTATATTTTTCTGTAAGTTTGAGATTGCTTCAAAGTAAAAGATAGTCTTCTCCAAAAAATTTTTAAAATTAAACCAAATTGTTCAACCGTGTTGCCTGCTGCTGAGCAGTCCACCAAGACGAAAACTATCCGGAAGCCATCGGATACCTTAGAACAGTTGTTGGTGGGTGATGGAGGCAGAGACCAGCGCGACAGGGGTTGGCACTGGGACAGGCGACGTGCAAATGGCCACTGTTGTCAACTCTTCAGAGGTTTTTCTGGGAAGGGGGACGAAGGACCCTCCGAAGCAGGGGACTGTGGTGAGGGGTGTGGAGATAATGATGTATGCAGGAATACTTGGACAATTAAGAAGCTATAGCCCAAGGAGGGGAAGTTTTGGAGAAATTCTGTCTTCAGCTATTTGAAGATCTTGCAAAGTCAAAGAGATGCTTTGTTTTAATTTTCGGAGGAAAGAAGTAGAGCCAGTGTTTACAGAGCAGGGGCTTCTGACTAACGCGTTGAGCCGTCCAGCAGCTGAGTGGTTGGTGGCCTTGCACGAAGTGAACTCCTGACCCAAACAGTGGCAAGCAGAAGCTGTTCCTGGAAGTGATTCCTCTGGTGACTTAGGGCTGAGGCCAGGTGGACCTCCAGCTCCCACTGCGCACTCAGGCCCATTGTCATGTGGTTTGTTCAGATAGGAAGTCCTCAGCCCTTTCTGAAATCTTGAGTCTAAGTGGAAATGACCAGTGCTTGGGGCTCTACGTCTGCCTTAACCACTGCGTGTGGGAATTAAAAGGACCGTGCGGTCGGCTGCCTCTCAGCGGGTTTCTTTGCTGCGCTTACCACAGGGGTAGACAGTCTCACCCTTGCAGTGACCAGGGAATCCCTTGGTTAAACATTATTTTGAACTGGGGAAGGTCCGATTGCCCACCTGCAATCAGGCCAGTGGCCATGAAGGTGTTACGGCTGGAGCACAGCGCCCTGGTTCTTTGCGCTTCAAAGGGCCCTTTGTGTGCGGGTGATGACAGCAGCTTGGGGGGTATAGGATTGGTCACAGGGATTATCCTCTGTATTATCTTCCTGCTTTTTCTTGGAGCCTGGTTTCTTTTTAGAGACGGTGTATTCGGAAGGGAGAAGGGTAAGAACAGTAGCGAGGTAGCGCACCCATGAGTTTATGTTCATGGGATATAGAAAACTGACATTTGTCTTCTTATGTATTTAGAAGAATATGTTGTCACAGCAGAGAAAACCAGATGAGTTACTAGCAGGCAAGTGGGAAAACAGCAGTAGTGTGGATTCTTGTGACCTGCAAATAAATTATAACGGTGGAGGGACAAGGAGCTTATGATAATGATGTTCTTTCTGGGGCCTCCTGAAAAAACACTCTACCTTTTAAGTGTCTGCGAAAGCATGGCCCTTCACAAAATTACTCTCTGAAACACTCCATTTTATATATCACAATATCACATGAAATAGGAATTAAAATAGTATTGTGGCTCCTGTTTATCTAAAAAGAAGGCCTCTGTTTTTTTCCTGCTGGTAATTTATATATTGAAATGTTACTTAGGAGCGCCTGGGTGGCTCAGTCGTTAAGCGTCTGCCTTCCGCTCAGGTCATGATCCCGGGGTCCTGGGATCGAGCCCCGCATCGGGCTCCCTGCTCCGCGGGAAGCCTGCTTCTCCCTCTCCCACTCCCGCTGCTTGTGTTCCTGCTCTCGCTATCTCTGTCTCTGTCAAATAAATAAATAAAATCTTTAAAAAGAAATGTTACTTGTAAGAATCTGAACAACTCATCATTAGCAATCTGTAACTCATCCCAACTTAAATTTTTTAATGGATTTTTAGGTTGTTCTACAAATATGCTTTCTTACGAATACAGAAAGAGAGACCAGTTTGGTACAAGTATAATATTTTTTATTCCAAGAATTTGAAAATAATCTCTTTAAAGTTTTTTCACGATTATTTTCCGGCAACATTCTGTGAACAAAAACATGGTTTTCAAAGGCCACAAATTAAGGAGATGTGAGATTTCTGAGGTCAGGGAGGTTGAAACAAAGCTTCTCGGAGATGGCTTTTCTCAGTCTTTATTTTAATGCTGTATTTCTCTCTGACCTCAGAAAAAACCTGTGTTGAGTTTTAAAAAATATTACCTCTTTCAGCGTCTTCATACGTAGTTGTTGAAACATGTAAAGACTCACCTATATGAAAATACGAGCTTTGAAAATTCTGCTCACCAGCCATCTCATCCCTAGGAGTTTGCTGAAGGAGAAATGTGGATATAAAAAGGATTGGGTCCTGAGATGTTTAATGCCTTATTTTTAAATAAGATCATGGGTTATGGCCTAAATGTCCAACAGCGAGGGAATGAGGACATAAGTTATGGTGCACCCGCTTGTGTGTGAGGACCCTCGTGAGACACAGAGCAAATGGGAAGGTGTGGCCATCTGCTTCGAAAAGCAGGAAGATGTGTTCACAGAAGGTCCACGCGTCTGCAGACAGAGGCAGGAAGAGAGGCCAGTGTAGTCCTAGGGGTGGGACTGAAGGCACGCTTCCCTATTGGAAAGCCACTTGGCATAAATAAAAACTGGCTTTCAAAGATGGATTTGGCCACGATTTGGGCATTTTGCTCAGAACCCCTGGTGCACATAGCAGATGTGGACCCCTGAGTTTGAGTCCTCAGGGCTGTCGGCTGCCAGGCATCTGCTCACCCTTGGTGCGCCATCTTGTACTCCTTTCTCTCCTGTAAAGCTCGGTGGGAGCTTTGCTTTTTGGATTGGTTACATTAAAAAAAATTTATTTTCCATCACTGTATGTGAACAAGGACATGGCATGGCACTCAGGTAGGAATTTGGGCACCAAATTGAGCTTCTCTGTCTCTGTGTTATTTGACAAAATCTGTTCAGTTGGGGAGTTGGGGTTGCATTTTAAAAGGCAAGTGCTTACAGCATTACTGATGATTAAAATAAAATAGAACCAACAAAAAGAGCCATATCTGTGGCAGGAGGTTGTTTCTGTCTGCACGTGGCTGAAACACCATTTGGAGAGACAGAGAGAGACCTGGAGACACAGAGTGACAGGGTGGGGCGAGCCTGACATTCAGGAGGGAGGAGGCGGACATCAATGTTAGATTTTCTGTGTTCTTTGTGTCCTTTATCCTCAAGCTGCAGCCACCTCCTCATCCAGTTCCTGAGAAGAATGTGATACTTAGTGAATTTTTTCCACATGCCTCCACTAAGACATTCCTAAAGCTTCGTTCCCCCCCCGACAGTCAGTGACAAAAGGCACAGAATTGCATCTTTGAGTGTTTGAGAGGCATGGCCACTTAACCACCTGATCAAGGCATGGGCAGGATCTGTGTTTTCACATTCTGAAAGTAAAAGTATGGTAGTCCGTGTCTTCTGATTAAATCAACCCTGCAGACGTCTTTATGTGTTCTGTGCAAGTATTTTTTTTTAAATAGTTCTGTCAGGAAAATTACAGGGGACTTTTTGGTTTTGAAGAACTGGGTGGTGTTTTAATGATGTTACGAGGTATGCTACACATTTTACTTCATTAGAGTTAACTTCTTGTCCACCCTGTTCCAGGGAGGAGTAGAAAGAGAAGTTTTTTCAGACTGTTCAGAGAGTAGTTATGAGAGGAATACCAGAATTTAAACCTTTCAACATGTGTATAAACGGCAGGGTCTGTGTGATAAACACATTTTTCTAAATTCATTACAGTGTGTTAGATGTAATTCTTTGAGCTGGCAGATCTTTCAACTGTGTATGAGAAACAAAATAGAGTAGTTGCAATTTAGTGTAATCTATTTAAAATACATGTTCTTTCCTCTATTTGAACAGTCTGTCCAAAATGCAATCCATTCATGTGGGATTTTGCCTGTACAGCTCTGAGTGGGAATCAGTAGTTTCTTTGTTCGTCACTATGGAAACAAGTCAGCCTATCCCGAATGGCTGTCAGATCTCGCAGAGTGAGGCTGGCGGCTCAGCGAAACTTCACCACGGAGCAGGCTGGAGCTGTCATCCCCTCGCCCGCAGCTCTTTCCCGCTGGGAGCCCAGCCATGCAGGACCTGCCCCGGCGGTGCTCGGCCCTGCCCTTCCTCAGCTCCTTCTTCCAGGGCCGCCGGCACTCGTCCTCGGACCCTGTCCTGCAGCATGGCCGGCGTGGCTCGGCCGCCCAGACGCTCTCCTCGTCCTCTCTCCAGGTGATGGTGGCAGTGGCCTCCGTCAGCTGTGCCGAGAGGAACCCAACTAGCCTCCAGAGAAAAAGTAAAGCTCTTTTCCTTCTTAAAGATTGCCACAGCTTTGAGTTTAAATTCAGACTGTTGACAATTAATTCTACATTGTACTTTCACTGTCTGTTATGCTAAGAGCTTCAGTGGACATGTAATAGGAGATAAAGTGAATGTTTTGTGCTTTTGCATTAAAAATGTAATTTTTGAAAAAATTCATTCTCTTGTAAAAGATCTGCTTTTATGGTTTCTTCCTCTTCATTACCAGTATGACATGTGGAGATTATTGTGTGTGAAAGCCTTTTCTATATTAAGAGATCATGCACTCAGATGAAAAGGAAACCGTTTTATTTCTGGCAAAATGAAGGGAATGTAGCCCCGGCTCGTCATCTACAATCCTGAGGTGACATGGAAGCTGTTTCTCATGTTACTGTTGCATTTGGAGAGTGGAATTTTGAATCCTCTCTTCCTTGTGTGTTCTAGGAAATTCAGGACGTCCAACACCAAAGTACACGAAAGTCGGAGAGCGCTTACGGCATGTGATTCCCGGACACATGGCCTGCTCCCTGGCATGTGGTGGCAGAGCCTGCAAGTACGAAAGCCCAGCGCGCTGGGGCGAGCAGGAGCAAGCCATCAACGGGGTGTACTCATCGTGGTGAGTGAGTCTGCGGGGCCAGTGGCCGTGCAGGAGGGGGCACGGGGCTGTGAAGGCGGAGGGCCCCGCCCCCGCCCTGGCCTTGCGGTTTGATGAGCCGCGTGATCTTGGCTGCCTCACATGGGTGTTCTGAACTTCTTCTGTAAAATGGAAATAATAAAACCAGCCCACAGGGGTTTTTTGTTGTTTTTTTTTTTAAAGATTTTTATTTATTTATTTGAGACAGAATGAGAGAGAGAGAGAGCACATGAGAGGGGGTAGGGTCAGAGGGAGAAGCAGGCTCCCCGCCGAGCAGGGAGCCCGATGCGGGACTCGATCCCGGGACTCCAGGATCATGACCTGAGCTGAAGGCAGTCGCTTAACTGACTGAGCCACCCAGGCGCCCCCACAGGGGTTTTTTAATTAAGTGAAATGATGTACGTAAATCTTAAAAAAGTGGTAACGAGATAGCTCTTAAGTATTGGAAGTTGCTAGAAATAATGTGCTCAGCTGTAAATTTGAGAAGGCAGGAGGTACATACATGGTTTGTCAGTTTCACACAGGTACGTGTTAGCCTCATTTCTTTTTGTTCCCGTCTTCTGGATGAAAGGGCACACTTCCACGCAAATACACCGCCCGCGTGCCTCAGTAGAGAGCGGTGCACGTTGTTGGCTCAGCAGGCAGGGTGAATACGGGTGCATGCTTTATGGTGTGCAGATGTGATTCATTCTGCAGTGAATCCTTCTGCTGCTTGTTATTAACGGTAAACTGTCAAGTGTACCTCTTTTGATGTAGTGATGTCTCTGATGAATTCTGATAATCAAGCCAAATCACCTTTGTTTGTTAAGATTTTTTTTTTATTTATTAGAGAGAGCACAAGAGGGGGGGAGCAGAGAGAGAAGGAGAAGCAGACTTGCCGCTGAGCAGGGAGCCTGATGTGGGGCTTAATGTAGGGCTCGATCCCAGCACCCAGAGATCGTGACCTGAACCGAAGGCAGACGCTTAACCCGCTGAGCCACCCAGGCGCCCCCACAAATCACCTTTGAAGCCCAATAAGAGGAATCCACAGTTCAAAGAACTCTAGTGGTGATTCATTTCCTGCAGCAAGAATCCATTTCCAAATTAGACTTCGTCAACCGGCTTACCTAACTTGCAGCCTGGGCTTTTTTATATTTGCTGGCACGTGTGTAGTGATAGAGTTGGGGTCCATTGTCATTGCCGTTCCCCACAGATCATATTCTAGTCTAAAGAATGTTGTGTGAAAGCAAGCGTTAGGCCTGAGGTGTGCTCGGACCGTAAATATCCAATCATGCAGCTTGAGATCACGTTAGTATTTTTGGTTTATTGTTGACTAAACATCTGAGTCTTTTTCACCTGCCATGCTTTCATGGTACTTCTCTCCTCGTCTTATACTAAGTACTGCTGAATTTGGTGGGGGAGGCCCCCATCAATTTTCAGGGCTTGCCCCAGCAGGGAGGCATGGTATCTTTCTGGACTGTGCTCTGCTCAGCTGATGTCTCTGTTACTCATCAGGCTCATGTGACCCATAGCTCCCGATAGACTGCCTGACGTACCTTTCACCAGACCCCGGAGGAGGGGCAGCTGTCTGTTGGGGGGCCTCTGTCCATTTGTCCTCAGGCCAGCACTGTGCTAGACACTGTTAAATTATTATGTCATCTTCATAAAGCTCCTGAAAGTAGGCGTGGCTAGTGTCATCCTATTGATGAAGGAATTGAGGTCCAGAGAGACTAATCTAGTACCCAGCTAGAAGTAGAAAAGCCAGCGTTTGAGACCAGGCCCGAATGACTCCAAAGCCCATATGTTTTGCTGAATTACAGTAACTCAGCATTTATTCCTAATCACATGCCAGGATTTGTGCTAAAGACTTTATTCCCACACTGTGTTGAATTCTCGTGCCAACCCCGTGAGGCAGGCGTTATCCCCACTTAACGTCATAGGTAACTGAGGGGCAGAAGTACCTTTGCTGCTCAGCGAGCTTCCTCCGCAACGTCCACTAGACTCTCGCTGCCGGGGTCCACAAATACCGTACATCCCGGAATTTTTTCCAGGGATTCGGGGTTTCTCAGAGCCCTCATCGTGATGCAGAATTGAAGCCGGAATTTGTGTAAGAAAATTGTTCTAGATTTGTTAGAATCATAGAAAAGTAGGGACCTGGTATCCCGTTCTCTTAGTTCTTAGAGCTGGAACGTTCCAAGTTTGTGCATCTCACCAGCCCCTCCTCCCATCCTAGGGTCACTGAGAACATCCTAGCCATGGCTCGCCCGTCCACGGAGCTCCTTGAGAAGTACCGCCTCATCGAGCAGTTCCACAGGTAAATGCCGTGTCGTTGACACACTTGCCAAGCCAATTCGCATGTTCTTGTCCATTGCTTTTGACGTCAGATAGCCAAACGATAGGCAGTGGACAGCTTATTTCGACTAGGAAATTGAGGTTTTTGAGAGTGATTAATAATGTTTATTCATGCCAAAAATGCTTGATTTTTTTTAAACACTTGCCCTCAAAATAACTTTTTTCTTTTCTCCTGTCAGCCATGGCATAAAAACAGTCATCAACCTGCAGCGCCCTGGTGAGCATGCCAGCTGTGGGAACCCTCTGGAACAAGAAAGTGGCTTCACGTACCTTCCGGAAGCTTTCATGGAGGCTGGCAGTAAGTCCTTCCACCTCCCCTCCACGAGTTACCAAGAACAGCACCCAGACTCTTGTCTGCCCAGCTCTCCCGTCGTTACCGGGTGACAGAGTGACCGCTTTCTGCCGGGGGTGGGCTCCCTACGGAGAAGATGAGCTGACTGATTCTAGATAATGTGGCCATTCTTCTCGGGTGGTGCTGCTGAAAGTACAGGATTCCTTTTGTCCTGTGAGAGGGATCTTGGGAGGGTCCCTGTAGAAACAATGCCCGCGTTAGTTACCGTGGACACTGGCCCTGCTGCTCTGCGCATCCCATAGTCCTTGTTTCTGCCTCAACTCAGGCCCTGCAGGCTTCGTGAGTCCCCACTCGCCTGGGTCACACAGTGTACACATGGCAGCAGGATTGGAACCCGGGACTCACTCATGCCCTTACTGCTGCCGAGCTCTGCCTCTGGGTGGGACGCAGGGAGTCTTTATGTGACAATCCCAGAAGCCCCAGTCTTGGGAGCCTAGGGATGGAGTCCGCCGAGCACATGCCATTCAGGACCAGACTGGAAAGGACCAACCCTGGCCACTTCGGGGACTTGTTTTTCAGAAGTGTGCGTCTAGCTTTTTTTGTCTTCACGGGGTGGAGAATCTGTATGTACCCACCTTGTGCCATTTATGAGTCCTTTAGACACATTGCCATACTTAAACAAGATGCCATGCTTTCCCTCTGTAGCTGAGTAATTTGGGCCAGGGTCGGGGACTTTATTAATTTGTAATCCTGTTTCACCTTAATTCTTTCTGGCTGAGTTTTAGCAGGAAATATCTTAAGTAATATAGAATGTGCTTTGTGAGAAATGTTAACAGTGAACTTACTGGAAATGTAAAAAGTCTATTATTTTAGGCCTCTGCATCCAGTTCAATCCGTGTGCCTTACAGCTTTACACTTTTCATGAATTCACTTCCTTTCTTCAGATGGCTACGCAAGTACTTTTCCTCGATGTTAATTGTTTTTTCATGTTTTCTTTTTTTCATTGTCCAGTTTATTTCTACAATTTTGGATGGAAGGATTATGGTGTAGCATCACTCACCACCATCTTAGATATGGTGAAGGTGATGACATTTGCCTTACAAGAAGGAAAAGTAGCTGTCCATTGTCATGCAGGGCTTGGTCGGACAGGTAAATACTAGGAAGTGGATTTATTGTCTTGTAGCATATTTAAACATGTAAAGAATAATATTTCGTAATTCTAGAGGATAAATATTTTTCAGAATCCTATCAAAGTTTTGGAGTCAAATGGTAGAAGCCACTGAAAGAAATTAGAAATAACTTAAATGGTTTCAGTGATCATTTATTTGTGAGAGTATTTTTGAGAGACTTAAGCCTGAAAACTCATCATATTTAGTAAACAGATGGGTTTCCACAGCTCACTAAATGATTATTCTGGTTATTCTTTTTCAAAGGAAAAAAGCCCCAACACTTTATTTATAATACATAATATCTTTTTAAAATGTAATTTTCCTTAACCAAAACAATGAAAATAGAAAGCATTGTTTTATTTGGTGTGTTCTAAGCACTTTACACAAACTGTTTCTTTAAGTCTTTAGCAGCAATGTGAGTCTTGAGAGGAGCTTAAGTAACTTGCTACATTGAGTAAGTGGCAGAGCCAAAATTTAAATTCGTGGCTGGAAGGAATTTATTTGTGAAGGGAGTCTATCTGTGCCTAAAATTCTATATAAAAATCAATGATTTTACTTAAAAATGCAGCAGATCTCAATGCAGTGCTGATACTGGGGCAAAAATAAATACTGTAAGGTTAGAATATTAATTGTCATCTGGTCCAGCCAGACTCCTGAGCTCAACACTGTCCACAGTGTACCTGTGTACCTGCCTCCAGTTCTCCCACCTGCTTGGGAGTGTGCTCAGGGCAGGGACTCAGTTCTGCCTGAGAACGTCAGCTCTTAGGGTCCAGCTAAAATCTCCCTGTTCTTGGGGATTCCACACGACAGCACTGCAGATACTTCCTACTTACACTGAAGTGCCATGTCCTGGTGAGAAAGATTTGTGGGACACTGTACCTACTGGGAACCATGCAGTTTGCAGAGGTCCTGATTTTCACGTGTAACGTGATTAACAAACTTGGTGAATCACACAGATGTCTTCTGATTTGCCTTTTACCTTGATATTAGTTAACTATCAAAGTTGGATTAATTGATTATCACCACTGTGTTATTCATTTTAATTTAAAATTAATTAACAAGAATAATAAGGTTTATAACATTAAGGTTGTTTCCTTTAATAATAAGTATTTATCGAATAAAGTTATATCTTGGTCTAGAGAAAAGCACTATTAGTGTAGAGAAAAGTCCAGAAGTAAACTGTCAGTGTGAATAATCCCCAAAGAAAAAAAGCCCGAAAAGGAAGAATGCCAGGCTGGGAATGTGGCAACAATCGATGGCAAAGTTGGCAGGAGTAGGAAGTAAGTGTGCAGTCAGGGCGGGGGATGGAGTGACCTGTGCTCAGCTCCTTACCCTCTTCAGACCAACTTCAACAGGGATGAAAGCAAATCCTGCTCTACTTCCTGCTCTGAACTGCTTTTAAACTATTCCATCCAGTCAATCCATACACTGTTTGGACCTTCCCCTAAACCCCCTCTCACTCCCTCATGCCCTCGCCATACTTTCTGCCTCATCCCCTTACCACACTCACTCCCTCCTCCCCTCACTACATTCTCTCCCTCATCCCCTCACCCGTGCTCACTCCCTCATGCCCCTCACCACACTCTCTCCCTCAACTCTTCACCACACTCTCCCTCATCCCCCTCACCCCCGCTCACCCCACTCTATCCCTCATCCCCTCACTACACTCACTCTCTCATCCCCTTGCCCCCTCTTACTTCCTCATCCCCCTCACCCACACTCTCTCCCTCATCCCCTCACCCATACTTACTTCCTTTCAGGGTACAGAGATGACTGTGGATTCTCAGTGACATATAGACAGGTGAATAAACACTTGTACAAGAAGTCAGTAAGTTATAATTGTCCTTAAAATGATCCTTTATATGGTTTCCTGACACGTATTCAAAATTTAAAACTTAAAGACTGATAAATAAATAAGTTATAAACTTTTTCATACCAATCTTCTCTTCTTCACCTCTAGGTGTTTTAATAGCATGTTACTTAGTTTTTGCAACAAGAATGACTGCTGACCAAGCAATTATATTTGTTCGGGCAAAGCGACCCAATTCCATACAAACTCGAGGACAACTACTCTGTGTAAGGGAGTTTACTCAGTTTCTGATTCCTCTTCGCAATATATTCTCTTGCTGTGACCCCAAAGCACACGCTGTTACTTTAGCACAGTATCTTATTCGCCAGCGGCATCTGCTTCATGGTTATGAGGCCCGACTTCTGAAACATGTACCCAAAATTATCCACCTCGTTTGCAAATTGCTCCTCGACTTAGCCGAGAACAGGCCAGTAGTGACAGAAGAGGTGGCAGAAGTGCCCAGCCTATCTGCCGAAATTGAGAAGACAGTTTCTGAGATGATCACCCTGCAGCTGGATAAAGAGTTGCTGAGGCAGGGCAGTGACGCATCAGATTCCTACCCCCCCACTGCAGTGCCCACAGATTTTGAGAATCAGGATGTGATTCTTTCCAGCGAGCAAGAGATTGACCCTCTTTGGAAGAGACGGAATGTCGAGTGCCTTCAGCCCCTGACTCATCTGAAAAGACCATTCAGCTACAGCGACTCAGATTTAAAGAGGGCTGAGTCGCTTCTGGAGCAGGGGGGATCTCCGTGGACAGGGCCTGCCCAGGTGTTGCTTGGCCATCATCCCGGGCAGCAGAAGCCCATCAGCCACTGTTACACCCCCCAGTCTCCACAGCTGGATCCAAGTAAGGAAAAGCTGGTCCAAAATACATTCTCTTTCTGGAATCAGGCTAAATTTGGAGGCCTGGAAGGACTCAAAGATGAGGGGTCACCGGTGTTCCATAGGGAGACTATTGCAAAGGAAGTACAGCGGAGTAGAACCTTCTCTTCGGGTGTTTCAAGTTCATACAACCCTAGGGAACCAGTTATGCCGAACCTTGCAGATACCCCTACGGAACCAAACTGTTCTCCCCAGCAAGCGCCCCGCTGTCAGGACGGAACTCCTGCTGGTTGCTGCTCCGACACCCCCCGTGGCCCCGTGGACTGTGGCTTCAGCCCCAAAGCACCCTTCTTCGGTGGACGCATCCGAGCCCAGGACAGCAAAGATCTGTCTGCACTTGCTCCACACACTGCTTTGCAGTCTGAATTGAGTGTCGAAGCCAGGAGAATACTGGCAGCCAAAGCCCTGGCAAGTTTAAATGAGTTCACAGAAGAGGAGGAGGTGAAAAGGAAGGTAGAAATGTGGCAGGTACTTGTATTTCATTTGATTATGTGTGTGGGGGAAATACTTACGTCAGAACAAAAACAATACATTTTACCAAATTTAGGTATTATGGGAATTTGAAGACCTGTTTATGTCATACGTGACTTTTGAACTTCAGGTTTCTCAATCTCTGTGTGAAAGAAAGCGCTCAGTGCTTAGCACTTAGCAGGGCCCTTGGAGCAGGGCATTGATGCTGATGCATGTGGCGGCTTCCTGCTTTCCTGCTGGGTTTGTGGGATGGACAGACCTAAGCAGACAGCTTTAGGAACTAACCTGTGCACCACTAACCTGAGTCTGGTGGGGAGAATCACTGACCAAGAGACATACGTGAAATCAGAGAAAATTCTTTTCCAAAGTCATCAACGCAAGTGTTGAGTGAGGTCAGGAGGACACGTGATGGATGCTGTCTGCTCAGCATCCCTTCCCGCAGACTTCCCGGTGCACCCCAATGAGGCAACAGCCAGATTCCACAAAGCAAATGGGAGCAAGCCACAGAGTACCTTTGTGTCATTAGGTTTTTAAAAAAGCTTTTATTTATTTAGAGAGAGCAAGAGGGGCACAGGGAGAGAGAGGATCCCAAGCTCATCACCAAGCCTGACGTGGGGCTCCATCTCACGATCCTGAGATCATGACCTGGGCTGAAATTGAGTCAGACGCTTAACTGACTGAGCCACCCAGGCACCCCTGTGCCAGTAGTTTTACCCGAGGTTGTGTCTTTGGGGCCCATTTCTTGGCTTTTACTTAAATTAGAATGTGCAATTTTAAATTTTAACCCCTTTTTGTGGTGTATTTTCATTAGAAACACAATCTTAAATCAGTTGTGCTCTTTGCCCTGAATGAGCAGCTGGTGTAGACAAAGGGCAGGCCTTACCACCTAATTATCAGAAACTAGTAAACTGCCCAAATGTGGGGCTGACCTGGGGAGGCCTGGCTCAGTGAAACTGAGACTTGTTCGCCTATAATCTCCCACGAATTATTTGTGTAGGTGCTCCTCTGTATTCTACATTAATTAAGCAAGGCATGTACACCTCCCAGAAGGTTCAGAACCTTCCAGATGCAGAGGTGGGAAAACTAGGCCCAGAGCCTTGCACCACTTACAGCTGTGGACTGCAGAGCATGCGCACATTGTTTGTCAGAACCGCAGGTGTTTGCTGAGCAAATCGCTACATACATTGATTTCTTACAACACGAAGTATTTTTTCTTTTTTTTTTTTTTTAAAGATTTTATTTACTTGACAGAGAGAGATACAGTGAGAGAGGGAACACAAGCAGGGGGAGTGGGAGAGGGAGAAGCAGGCTTCCCGTGGAGCAGGGAGCCCGATGTGGGGCTCGATCCCAGGACCCTGGGATCATGACCTGAGCCGAAGGCAGACGCTTAACGACTGAGCCACCCAGGCGCCCCAACACGAAGTATTTTTTCTTACTCTGAACTGAACAAGCCTTTGGCTCGTTCTGGCTCAGTCTGAGGGCCCTTCCCTTGTAACACCATAGCCACGAGAGCTAGTGGTTGGACCCCTCATAGGTCAGCCCAGCATGGGCCAGACTGTCGGAGCACCTCACACAGAAAAGCATTTTCCAGAGGTGAACACGACCCTTTTGTTTGGATAGGCTTGCCCTTTGTTTCACTTTCTGGATTTTATGATGGGCCTTTCAGCAATAAAACAACTTGAGTTCTGGAAAGAGTCCAGTGAACTGTGATTTGGACGGCACGGGCTGCCTGTGCCCGCGCTAGGCCCTCTTCCTTCTGCTGCATCACCTGCTCTCTCAGGGACCCCGGAGGGCAGAGGACACCCTAAGATTCTTCGTTAATCTTCACAGTCCTTATGAGTTAAGTATCACAGGTAGGGAAGCCGAGGGTCACAGGGGTCAAGGCACATGCTCAAGGTCATGTGGCCCGAATGTGGCAGGGCCGGGATGCAGCTCATGAGTTTAATACTTTGCTAAGTCCCCTTGAGGATTTCAGAAAACATGACTATGTAACGGCATTTTACTGGGAGGGCCTTTGACTTGTCCCGTTCTGCCCAGCTTCTGGTTACTGCAGAGCAGATCTGCTGTGTATATGACCCGTGGGGAACGGGGCCTCCATACAACTAAACATATTGGCTTCTTTATAAGATAATAAAGAGGAACCAGAGGAACCCAGAGCCGGAGGACCCTGGCAGCGGGGCAGGAGCATCACGTCTGGGGTCAAGCAAAACCCAGGGAATGCCGTCTGCCCCATTCTGCTTTGGGCTCCTGGGCAAGTACCCTCTTCCCTGGGCCTGCACATCTGCCGTCAGGGCCTCACTTCAGGGGGCTGTAGGAATCGGATAAGCCACGTGCTACAGGCTGTCCTGTTCTAAGCTTTGTGAACATACCAGATGTGTGAATGAATGAATGTGCAATTATTATGCTTATTCCTGTAGCACACATAGACTTTATTTACTAGTGCATAAAACTGAGCCCCATCAGAAGTTAAAATTTTCCTGTTTTCCCCCTGCTCTCTGCGAGGTAAACTGTTAAGGCCTCCTCCTTAACTTATCTCCAGCATTCAGGGCATGGGCAAGACTTGCTCGTCCCTTCCCCTGTCCAGTCTCAGGATGTGGGGCTGGCTCTGTGGCCAGGCCTGCATGGGACTCTGAAAAGGAACGTGAGACAGATGTGCCTGCCCAGTTGCAGACTGTTCAGCACTTTTCTGGGGCCCACTTTGAAGTTTTAGTCAGCTTTTCCTCGTCCCAGGGTAATTTGCAAATGTTATCTTATGTATGCTTTTTTGTCTAACATTCTACTCCATCACAGTAAGTATTTGTCTTTTGTCCCAAGGAACCTAAAACGGAAGGCTCCCTCTTCCTGAACAGCGTCTGTGGTTTCAGAGCCCGGTGGAGAGCTTAGCGTTTGGGCCAGCTGAGCCCCTCTCTGAGGGAGCTTTAGGGCACACGTGGGGCAGGGGGTCAGCTTCACAGAGGGAAACTGAGGCTTGGAGAGACTCAGCATCTCAGCCTAGTGTGCCACCTGGAGGTGGGGGCACTGGGAGGGGTCCCCATCCACCCAAAGCCCGAGACTGTCACTCATGAACAGCCTGAAGGCCATCAAAACTCAAACAGTGCTACCTCCCTGTCCCTCCCCCCTCCCTCCTCCTCCTCATCCCTTGCCCTCCCCTTCCTCCCTCCCTGCCCCTCTCTTCTTTTCCCTCTCCCTTCCTCCCCCTTCCTCTTCCCCTCCCTTTTTCCTCCCCTCCCCTCTCCTTCTTCTCCATTCTCCTCTTTCTTCCCTTCTTTTAGAAAGAACTAAATTCCCGAGATGGAGCTTGGGAAAGAATATGTGGCGAAAGGGACCCTTTCGTCCTGTGCAGTCTCATGTGGTCTTGGGTGGAGCAGCTGAAGGAGCCTGTGGTCACCAAAGAGGACGTGGACACATTGGCTGGCAGCCACGCACATGCCACAGAAGCACTGTTTTTATTAGAGAAGGTAAAGAGGCTGTTGGGCGGTTGATGAAGTTAACCACGGCCCTTAGCTCAGGCTTCGTGCACAAAAATCCATTATGAAGAAGGGGACTTGTGCAGAATCCCATATCTGGGTCTAATCTAGGTTTTTCCGAGGTAAGAAGAAATGCACACCCAGCATCAGGTGTAGAAGATACAACACCAGACGAGGAGAACGCCCGTAACCCAGCAGCACCACTCTGAACATTGCACGTCCGTTCTGTCAGACTTAGTGCATTTGTTAATGTGGTCACGGACGACCGCATACTTCATTTTTCAGACACACATGGACACGAATGCACACGCTCGCACATGTGCGCACATGCCAGTAAAGGTGAGGACGCCCTGGATCCAGAGTCCGTTTCCCAGTCTGCCTTCTCAGGCCCTGGGTGAGGGGCTGAGAGAGGAGGTCACCCCTGGGGCAGTGGCCAGGCCCTTGCCAGGTCCTAATTTCCGTTTTCCCCTTCATTCATCTCCATGGCCTGGACAGGGTGAGGCCCCATCTCTCAGGAAAGGCAGTCAGCGTGTGTCACAGCAGGACCTGAGCCCCAGTGGCTCCGCACACAGCTTGCACCCGTCTGTCCCGTGGCGCCCGCTGCACCTTCGTCTTCCTTCACTCCAACCCCTGCACATAGGGTGTTTGCATTATTTCAGGGTTTTACTTCGGTAGCCATCCTGTAATGATCACTTGTGCTTGCAGGGTTTTCTGCATTTCCGATTAGGCCCTCACTAGATTTCCAGAAGCGTAGTCAGTGGCTCTCAGGGGCAAGTGTACTGGACGCATGTCGGCTCCAGAGGTGGTGTCTCCTTTGTTTCTCTAAAGTGAACAGCCCCTGGGAGTCAAGTCGGACACGTTCCTTGGGGACCTTCCCCCTTAAGTTCCAGTGGGCGCACTGCTGGGGGGCCACGGCTGTCTCTCCCCTTCCCCGCCTCCCTCCGCAGCTCCAGCCACAGGCAGGGCGTGCTCGTACTGACCCTGGCTGCCCACTGGTCCACGGACCACCGTGGCACATCGGGCCTCCGCTAGCCGAACTGAAACAGTTGTGTCTAGAAACGAGTGGGTCCTCTCATTGGTTCACTGCAAGGAAGACTTTTGATTTGAAGTCACACTGATGATATTCATATTCAGTTATACTTTATGTAATAACTAAGCAGCTTTGATTTTATCTCCTGGAAGCTTTTCAAATTATATTAACACCTAACAGGAAACGTGAGTAGAGCCCTTGGTAGAGAGTTTGGTGTTTGAGGTCATGAGTACTTGGTCGCACCCCAGCTCCTGGCTCTGCACTTACTTTGAGTTTATGTTCGGAGGCATTTTTTAAAACCACTTGTTTGATTTTGATTTCTGCAAAAACAGGGCCAGCACCAGACCATTCTCTGTGTGTTGCACTGCATAGTGAGTCTGCAGGCGATCCCTGCGGACGTGGAGGAAGCCATCCTCATCCGCGCCATTAAAGCCTTCACCAAGGTGGGTCACATGCTGCTGTCGGCATAATTGCAAATCAGAATCCAGAGGGCCCCCCCCCCCACCTGCTCTAAAATAAAACTTTCAGTATGTTTTTCCTTAATGGAAACATGTTTGACACTTCTCAAACACAGTAGTAGACTTTGGCCAAAAAATATTAGTTTCTCAACAGTGATATCAGAAAAAGCTGAACTGTGGGTTTTTTGAAGGAGAACATTGGAACAAAGAGCTTTCGTACAGAAACAATTGGATGTTGAGAAAATTCTTTTAAATCGTGTGCCAAGTAGGAGAGAATCTTTTCTGGTTGAGCCCATTCTACTTTGGGCCGAAATGCGTAACTGACCACTGAGAACCCAGCATCCAGCAGCGATGACCCGGGACCCTGCCCTAGTTGGCAAATCAAAGCAGAAAGTAATAAAAACCAGAGCTTTCCAGGCTTGCTGCAGCCCCTCAGCAAACACTGGGGTCACCTGCGCCCAGAGAGGTCAGCCAGGATGGGCAGCCCACCTGGGCCGCTCCGCGTCGCCCCACCTCTTGTTGGAGGGCGAGGGCGGCCGTGTGATTGTGACATGCTGCCTGGAGGGTGGAGTTGCTTGTCTCTGGCCTGGCCGTCCTGTGTCTACGAACATGTTAGGCGGGCCCAGACCCTCCGCAGCACCGCCGGGAGTCGCACATTTCTGCGGGAGTGGGAGTGGGTGCAGGTGTGGGAATTGCTCGGGTTCTCTGTCCTCCCGTTGCTCGACCCTGCAGCCGAAATACATGGACACAGTACATCCCCACCATGGGGCAAGGGAACTAACTTGCATGAAGGCTTTCTCTGTGGCAGACAAACACGTGAGCCTCTCACACCCAGTGCTCCCAGAAATGCTAAGGCGGGGGGTACCGCGGTGCGTGCGTGACAGGTCAGGTGTGAGTGGGGCCGCGTAGCGGGCCAGTGGCAAGGTGGGCTCCAGGCGGGTTGCCACAGGGCAGCCTTACAGCTGGAGACCCCTTTGACAGACCCCGTCCCTTGTGCCCCTGGCGCTTAAGTCTCCAGGTTCGGAACTCCGCCCTCACAGCTGCCTGGCGTCACGACAACCTGTGAGTGCGCATGTCCGGGCAGGGGTTTCGGTTTTTGAGTTTTCATTCATAACTTTGGTGTTGACATGATTGGCAGTTCTAATACAGTCTTTCGATTAAAATGAATGTGTGGACTGTGTTATGTATGCTGTTCATTGTGTATAACTGTGTTTGTAAGTCAGAGTTTTTTTCCACCGTCCTTCCTTTTCTCCCAAAATCAGCTGATTAAGATTCACTACTGTGTCCTGAGTCTATCTATTCTTTGTCAGCAGGTTAATTTTGACTCTGAAAATGGACCACTAGTTTACGACACCCTGAAGAAAATATTTAAACACACACTGGAAGAAAACAGGAAAATGACAAAAGATGGCCCTCAGCCTGGCGTTTAGTGATGCTTTCCTGGTGGCGGAGCCCTCCGACCCGGAGACCCAGATGGCGTTTCTGCGCACAGATGAACAGGTTGGAGCGTGGAGCCGCTTTGTCTCAGAGCACTTTATCTCAGACGCTCTTGGTTTGTGCTAAGAACACCCATTTCTGTTGGGAGCAATTATTTATTTTAAAATACCCTCGAGCTACATTTTTGTGTTGAAAAATTGCCATAACGTTGGTGCCACTTTCTTGTATTTATTTAACTGAATTAATACTGTTGTATTAATATGTTAAGTATGTGGTGTTTACATCTTTATTCTTTTTGACACTTTGGAAAAAGTTGTGACTCTTCTTTCCAAAACAAATATTTTGTCAGTGGAACCCTTGCTGGAGTTTTTACCAAATAGGTAATTTTAGTAGTAAAACTTCACTGTGGATCCATCCCCCTGATCCTTGACCTAAGGAAGTCACAAAGTGTCTTAAGCAGTTTTGTATTTGTTAGTAAGAAGGCTATTGAATTTTTTTAAGGATCTTTTTTTAATTTGCAAATTTTTTGTTGTTTTCTTTTTATAAACGCGTCAAAGGATTTCAAAGATATTATTTCTCAGAGAGATTTAGTTTTGTGTTGAAGGTTGACTGTGAGGTGGTTGGGATTTTTTTACCACGGGAAGTAGACTTGCTCTTGGTCAGGCTTCCAGACCCCCTGCCGACCTCTGCTGTCACAGGAGGCAGGAACGCTTTTCGGCACGTCCAGCCTGATGCCCAACAAACAGCGTCTTCACGGTGGAAGCGGGGGCCGTGGTGGGCAGTGTGGGCAGCTGCTCAGAAGCAGGACTCCACAGGGAGGAGCGTCAGGTGGGGGCAGGCTCCATGCAGCAGCGTGACCACCGGCCCACACCTCCCACATCTGCCCTTCCGTGGACCCTGTCATCTCAGGGCCCTGTCTTCGGCCACTTGTCACTCTGAGAACTAAGATTCTTAAATTGAACGTGACGCACGTAGGCCGCAATCACCCTCTGGGCTCGAGATAAGAAATAAGTGAACTAGTTCCTGCCTAACCAGTTCTCTGTGGACCAAACTGTCATTCAGCAGTCGAAGCCGTGATGAATGTGTGCAGCACCAGAGGGCGGGCCACACAGAGGGTAAGCATTTTCCCCAGTAAATATGCTATTCATCTAACCAATTTCACGGTAAGGTTATGACCTAATTTTAGAGACGGAATTTCGGGGGAAGTGAAGCTAACCACGGATGAGTCTCCCCGACTCCTGCATCTCTGAATCAGGTGCTGGCACATCAGAAACATAGTAATCCTTGTCGGTCTTACAGACTCTGGCGGCAAATGCTGAATGTCGTTACCTCCCACACTGTGTAAGTTTTCTTAGGAAACTTAAGATCCAGCGAATTTTAATGAACTGGTTGCCCGTTCCTGAAATTTCTCATTTTTAAGTGCCTGACCTGGGAAAGAAGGGAAAGATTACATTTTATCCAAAGGTACATTATAAAAATATGTTTTTTACCCAAAAAGATGTTTACCGTCATTTCTGTCAGTCTCACCTGGGCAGCTGCCAGCAGGGCTCATTGGACAAGCGGCTGTTGGCCTGTGTGTTTGAGATGGTCCCGCACAGCCCCGACGTGACCATGGCAGCGCACCAGACTGAGGAAGAGAGCTGGTGGGAGAAATAAATCAGGCTGTCTGTGGGCTTTGTATGTATTTGAATAAAAGTGAAAAGAACAACCCATAACCCTCGTACATTTTAGCTTGGAGCTCCTGATGATACAGGTATGCTTGGTGATGGGACGATCCTGACAGGCAGACTGGGTCGTGGGCTGGACATCAGTCAGGCTCTGGTTGGTCCCAACTCTGTTGGTCCAGTATGAGCAGGAGGGGCAGGAGGGGCAGGAGGGGAGAGGAGAGCTCTAGGAGGAGCGGGTGAGGGGAATCTTAAGGCTGGCGGGGTTCCTGCCTTCCTGCACTTGAGTGGATGAGGAGTTCTCTGCAGGCCAGAGGATAGTTCTACTGACCAGAAGAACTTACAGGGTTTTGGGATTCAGCTCAGCGGAAGTGTGAGGGGCCAAGAGCACACACTCAGAACTGACGGCCATGGCCATGCATATGCATTGTCTGGGTTCTTACCAGACCCGGGGAGAAGTATTATTCATACTTGCCTGTTGAAGGAGTCCCAGTCTGACCGACTCCAGACTGTGCCCTCCTCCCTCCCCCTGACAGAATGCCCGGCAGGAACCATGGGCCCTGTCAGCACTGGGCTCCATGGTGGCACCATAGAGCATTGTGTTGTTTGTCACTTAGTGAAAGTCCCCATCATGTCTGTCCTCTGGAGCTGGCTGAGCTGCCATGTCACTGTCCTGTGATCTCAGCATATCTCACTTAGGAAGTGCAGGATTTCCGGCCACTTACCAGTTTTCCTTCTATCCGAGAGCTCGCTGATGCCCTCTGCACCGAAGTGCTGCTGGTCTTGAGATTGCTTTATCCGTGTGCAGAACTCAGAAACCCACGTAATGTGCTTAGTCGTGTCTTCAGCCAGCTCCCCAGTCTTATCTCAGGAAGAGCATGTGCTTTCATCATGCTGGCGTCCATGAAAAACCATGTATCATAACTTCAATAAAGTTTTGCTGGTTTCTCTTAAATGGAGGACACCTGCTCATTGCTTGCATGCTCTTTCAGCCAGTTCTTTAGAGGTCTGAAGAAATCTCTGGAGACAATAGGCTGCAGACAAAATGCATATCCCAAGCCCCTGATATCTGAAGGCCCACAGTAATTTGGGGGATTGATTTAATCTGACAGTTTACTCAAGGCATCTTTGTTCTTGTTGTTCCAAATGAACAAGGATCGATATATTTTCAGTGCAAGTAAAACAAGAATGACATTCTCTTTGGTGCTTTTTATGAATATGGCTCAAGAGTATCACCTTATCTAAAGGAGCCTCCTTGGGGCACCTGGGTGGCTTAGTCACTGAAGTGTCTGCCTTCGGCTGAGGTCATGACCCCAGAGTCCCAGGATGGAGCCCCACGTTGGGCTCCCTGCTCAGCAAGGAGTCAGCTTCTCCCTCTCCCTCTGCCCCCTGCTCCATTTCTCTCTCTCTCACTCACTCTCTCTCCCTCACTCTCAAATAGATAAATTTAAAGGAAAATAAAGGAGCCTACTCAATGCTAGTTGGTTGAAAATTGTTTACAGATAACATGACAGGAGAAAAATTCAACAAATCCTGTGATGCAGTTGTGCATTCTGTTTTAGTTATGCTTTTAGGCATGAGCTGGCCTCTGAGTAGCCCAACACTGACGGTAAAACTGACTTGTGAGTGATCACGATGGAGGCCTTGAGCAGTGTGGCTTGGGGAAACCATCACTGTCAGCCATCATTTAAAACATCCAGTCATGGAAGACAATGTCCAAACCAGACTTTTACGATCATAAGACCTCGTGCACTGAAGTTTCGTGTGTCCACGGCAGTTTATATTGCAACAGAAGGCTGTAATGTCCTTGCCTCCTGGCTTTCTTGATTAAAATGAAAAGATGTTTGACTCTTAAGATTGCCTGTTTTGGGGAGAAGTTATATTTTTGGAGTAGTTTCCTACTTACATGGCCATTTGATTACAGCCTGAAAACACTCCTTGGCTTTGATTTAGTGAGTTGCTTTCTCATTTTCTTTCTTCTCTTAAAAATAAAATTAAAAGTAGTCAGACACTGAATTAGACTGAACCATGTGGAATAGCCTGCAGGTCAAAAATGATCACATGTGGCCATTTCCTGTGGTTCAACCGAATATTAAATTTAATGCTCCTGAGACCAGTAGGTGATATTTCCTGTATTATTTTAACAAAGTTTAAATTAGAAGATCAAGTATTTTCTAAGAATATTCTCTATGCTCCCAGTGGACTTCAAAACAAGTGGAAGAGACCAGTGTGAAACTCCTCTTTCAGCAAGCAAGGCCATGCCTCCTCTGTGTGTGGCTCTCCACTGATGCTGGGGGCACATGAGCTCATCTTCTCAGTCGTTCGTCCTCTGTCAGGAGCCGAGTTTAGCACATGCTTGGAACTAATGCTAGAAGCCTAATTCTCAACATTGTCACTCACTTAATTCTGAACATCCTTCAAAGCTCAGCTCTAATTCCTTGGAACAGAGTGTGTTAAATGTAGTCAAATTCAGCTACTTGACTATACAGCCCAAGGAGATGGAGGGGTATTACAGGCTGGACAGTGTCCTAAAATTCATGTTGAAGTTCTGACTCCTGGTACCCCAGAATGTGACTGTATTTGGAGATGGGGTCATTGCAGATGTAATTAGTGAAGACGAGGTCACTAGGGTGGCCCCAATCCAGCATGACCAGTGTCCCTGCGAAGAAAAGGAGGTGAGGACACAGACACGCACCGAGGACAACCACGTGAGGACGTGGGAAGACGGTGTCTACCCGCCAGGAGATAGGCCTTGGGGGAAACTGGCCTGCCCACGCCTGGGCCTCAGACTTCCCGCCTCCAGGACTGTGAGAACACACACTTCTATCGTACCAGCCCGGGCCATGGTGTTTGTTATGGCAGCCGGGGCTGACCAATGCACTCCTCAGCGCTTCCGCTGTACGTTGTGTGTGTTTCTCTATCACGTTACCTCAAACAGCACATCACTTGGATTTTCTTGTTTCTCAGCTTTATGCAAATTGAAGAACGCAGTGTGTATTCTTCTGTGACTTGCTCACGTTGTCCACCACGTTCCTCACATTTATCCATGTTGGCGTGTGGAGCTGTGGTTCCTGTGTGTTCACTGGGGTGTGGCAGCCCATTATGTGGATGCCCCACAGTTTACCCCTTTACTTGTGATGGACACTTAGATGATTGTATTTGTAGATAAATACAAACACATGGGTGCACACATAGTTATTTAGGCTGTGGAGCTACAAGTGGCATTTACGGGCTTCAGGGCACATGTCCAGGTTCCTTCACAAGGACAAGGTGTTTCTAAAACGATCGCCTCCGTTTATCCGCCAGCAGTGGTGAATGCGAGTTCCCATTGCTCAGTGGCCTTGACAACACTTAGTACTGGCTGCCTTCTTGGTTTCTGCCAGATTCAGCTGGTGTGAGACATGTCCCAGTGAGGTATCTTCACGTGTCCTGGGACATGTGTGCTTCGTCTCCTCTCACGTGCTTGTGCACATGTGTCTGTCTCTCACAGCCCTTAAACACGTGGTGCTCCGTGTGTTGGTTTTCTTTCTTCTCATCCATGATCCTGCCACACTCGGTGTAACACCTGGCACACAGAAGGGATCAACAAATGTGGATCAAAGAAGTAAGGAGGTAGAGGAAAAGAGGAGAGCACTGTCCCCCTAAGATCAGAACAACTCAGGGAAGGCTGCCCCCCCTCCTGTTCACATTGTGCTGGAGGTTCTGGCTGGTGTAATCAGGCAGGAAAAAGAAATATGAGGCATTCAGAGGAGAAAGTAAAACCATTTTTTTTAAAGATTTTATTTATTTATTTGAGAGAGAGAATGAGAGAGAGAGAGAGAGAGCATGAGAAGGGAAGGGTCAGAGGGAGAAGCAGACTCCCTGCCGAGCAGGGAGCCCGATGCGGGACTCGATCCAGGGACTCCAGGATCATGACCTGAGCCGAAGGCAGTCGCTTAACCAACTGAGCCACCCAGGCGCCCAAAGTAAAACCATTTTTATTTTCAGACATGACCATCCCTGTAAAAAATCTGATGGAATCTACAGAAAAAAACTATGACAGCTATTACGTGAGTTTGGTGAAGTGGGAAGACAAAAAATCAATTCACAAAAACCAGCTGAATTTCTGTATATTGGCAATGAAGAACCTGAAGTTGAACAATGGCAGTTACCAGAGCATCAAACGCTAAGGGATAAATCTGACAGAAAATGGGAGCCACCTGTTCTATCCATCTCCAAGGGCCACCACAACAAATGATCACAAGTAAGGGGGTGGGGGAGCGGGGGCTTACTTGTTCTGGTTCTCCTGGTTCCAGAGGCCAGAAGTCTGAAATTAAGGGATCAGCAGGGCCACGCTCCTTCCAGAGGCTCCAGGGGAGGATCCTTCCTGCCTCTTCCAGCTTCTGCCGGCCACCGGTGTCCCGTGGGGCTTCTTGGCTTCTGGCCGTATCACGCCCATCTCTGCCTTCATCTTCACACTGCCTTCTCCTCTCTCTCTCTATCCTCTGTGCAACTCTTATAAGGACACATGTCATTGGATTAGACACCTCTGGATAATGTAGGATGATCTCCTCTTGAGACCTTCAAGTACCAACTGCAAAGACCTTTTTTCCAAATAAACTCACATTCTCAGGCTCTGGGGACGAGGACACGAACATAGCAGAGCAGGGGGAGGGTGAGTGGCGTGATTCAACTCACTACACCTGCACACTGAAAACTACAAAATATTTCCAAGAGAAACTTAAACAGACCGAAAAAGATGGAAAGATAACCTGCTCATGAGTTGGAGGAGTCAAGATTGTTTATATGTCCATTCCTTTCAGATTGATCTCTAGATCCCATACAATCCTAATTAAAGTCCAAGCAGGCTTTTCTTGCAGAAATTGACAAACTGATTCTGAAATTCATATGGAAAGGCAAGTGACCTAGAACAGCCAAAAGAACTTTGAAAAAAGAACAAAGTTGGCAGGCTAACACTACTTGATTTCAGGAATTATTTTTTTTCTTTTTTTAAAGATTTTATTTATTTTAGAGAGAGAATGAGAGAGAGAGAGCACATGAGAAGGGGGAGGGTCAGAGGGAGAAGCAGACTCCCTGCCGAGCATGGAGCCCGATGCGGGACTCAATCCCGGGACTCCAGGATCATGATCTGAGCCGAAGGCAGTCGCTTAACCAACTGAGCCACCCAGTCGCCCTTTTTTAAAGATTTTATTTATTCATAAGAGACAGAGAGAGAGGCAGAGGGAGAAGCAGCCTCCCCGCTGAGCAGGGAGCCCGATGCCGGACTCGATCCCAGGACCCTGGGATGATGACCTGAGCCCAAGGCAGACGCTTAACCATCTGAGCCACCCAGGCGCCCGATTTCAAGAATTATTATAAAGCTACACTAACCAAAACTGTGTGGTACTCATACAAAGCTAGACAGGTACATCAATGGAACAGGATATTCCAGAGAGAGACCCACACACACATGAACACCTGAGTTTGGACAAAGGTGAAAAGGCAATGCGGAGAAAGGACCGTCTTTAAACAAATGGTGCTGGAACAATTGGATGTTCGTATGCAAAATGACAATTAAAAACCCTTGGATCCGTATCTTGCATTATCTACAAAAATCAACTTTTAAATGTAAGATCTAAAACTATAAAACTTCTAAGAGAAAATATATGTGACCTTAGGTTAATTAGAGGTTTGTTGGATACAACACCAAAAGTACAGTCCATTAAAGAACAAGTTGATAATCTGGACTACATCAAGATTAAAAACTTCCGCTCTTCAAAAGACACTGTTAAGAAATGAAGACAAGCCGTAGACTAGGGGAGACTCTTTCTCAAAGCATTTATCTGATGAAAGACTATCTGAAACCTCTCAAGACTCAACAAGATAAAGGAAAAGCAGCCCAAACTTATAAAAGTGCCAAAGATTTTAATACACCACCAAAAATACAAAATTGGCAAATAACTAAATGAAAAGATGCTAAGCAGTATTAGTCATAGAAAGGCAAATGAATATGCACAGCAAAGGAAACAACCAACAAAACTAAAAGACAACTATGGAATGGGAGAAGATTTGTAAATGACATATCTGATAAAGGGTTAGTATCCAAAATCTATTGGGGTGCCTGGGTGGCTCAGTCGTTAAGCGTCTGCCTTCGGCTCAGGTCATGATCCCAAGGTCCTGGGATTGAGCCCCGCATCGGGCTCCCTGCTCAGCGGGAAGCCTCCTTCTCCCTCTCCCACTCCCCCTGCTTGTGTTCCCTCTCTCGCTGTGTCTCTCTCTGTCAAATAAATAAATAAAATAATTTTTAAAAATCTATAAAGAACTTACACAACTCAACGCCAAAAACCAAATAATCCAATTTAAAAATGGGCAGAAGACAGACACATGAGAAGATGCTCAGCATCGCTTGGCATCAGGGAAATACAAATCAAAACCACAGTGAGACAGCATCTCACACCTGGCAGACGGCTGAAATCAACACAAGAAACAGCAGTGTTGGCAGGGATGTAAAGGGGAGCCTCCCACATTGTTGGTGGGAATGCAAGCAAAGTGGTGCAGCCACTCTGGAAAACGGTGTGGAGATTCCTCAAAAAATTAAAAATAGAATTACCCTACTACCCAGCAATTGCACCACTAAGTATTTACCCAAAGAACACAACACTAATTCAAAGAGGTACGTGCACCCCGATGTTTATAGCATCATCATCTACAATAGCCAAATTCTGAAAAGAACCCAAGCGTCCACCGACAGATGAATGGATGAAGAAGATGCGGCGTATACGTGCAATGGGATATTACTCAGCCATTAAAAAGAATGAAATCTTGCCATTTGCAAGGATGTGAATGGAACTAGAGGGTATTATTCTAAGTGAAATAAGTCAGAGGAAGATAAATACTGTATGATTTCACTCGTGTGGAATTTTTTTTTAAGATTTTATTTATTTGACAGAGAGCACAAGTAGGCAGAGCGGCAGGGAGAGGGAGAAGCAGGCTCTCTGCTGAGCAGGGAGCCAGATGCGGGGCTCGATCCCAGGACCTTGGATCATGACCTGATCCGAAGGCAGACGTGGAATTTAAGAAACAAAACAAACAGACAAAGGGAAAAAAGACAAACCAAGAAGCAGACTCTTCACTACAGAAAACACACTGCTGGTCACCAGAGGGGAGGAGAGTGGGAGGGTGGGTGAAACAGGTGATGGGGATTAAGGAGTGCACCTGTCCTGATGAGCACCAGTGACATAAGGAAGTGTTGAATCACTATGTTGTACACCTGAAACTAACATAATACCATATGTTAACGGTATTGGAATTAAAAGAAATGCAAATGAAAGCCACAAGGAGATGCCACCGCACACCTTGTAAAATGCTGAAAATGCAGAAACTGGGGTGCACCAGGTGTTGGTAGGGATACGGAGAAATGGGAACTCACACTGCGAGTGGGAACATGAAGTGGTGCACACTTTGGAAAGCTGTTTGGCGGTGGCCTCAGAAGTGTGCTATCCAGCTGTTCCATTCCTAGGCGTTTATCCACGGGGGAAGAATGTGTACATCCCAACGAAGACTTGACCAGGAGTGTCTATAGCAGCTCTGTGTGGACTAGCCAAAAACTGGAAACAGCACAAGGTCCATGAACAGGAAAATGGAAAACCACATCGTGGTGGATCCACACGTGGAACGCCACGCTGCAATAAAAAGGAGTGAACTCTCAGTGATTCATACAACAGCAGGAATGACTCCGCCTCACTGTGCCGAGTGGGAGAAGCCAGACGGAAGGAGTACGCGCCATGTGATCCCTTGTACATAAAACTAGGGAACGCAGAAGAACGTGTCGTGAGCGAGTGCAGATCTGGCTGCCCAGGGCCAGAGGAGGCCCGGGGGTGTGGGGGGCATGCTCCCGTTCACGGTGGTGACTGTGGTGTTGGGTTTGTGGGTGAAGTTCATGGTTTCATGTCAGAAGGTATCAAGTTGCACACTTTTTTTTTTTTTAAGATTTTATTAATTTATTTCAGAGAGAGAGAGAGACCGAGAGCACCAGCATGAACAGTGTGGTGGGGGGGGGGGGGCGGGCAGAGGGAGAAGCAGGATTCCCGCTGAGAACACCTGATGTGGGGCCCCATCCCAGGACTCTGGGATCATGACCTGAGCCGAAGGCAGTCGCTTCACCGACTGAGCCACCCAGGCGCCCCCCCACTTTTTTAAAGATTTTATTAAGTTGCACACTTTAAATACTGTGTGCCGATTTTTCTGTTCCAGAAAATAGACTTACGTTTGTAAAAGAGGAAACGGTGTCCTGGGAGGAGGCACGTTGGAGTGGTCACGTGGGTTTTCTCTGGGCGGGGACGTATGGGCCATCATGTTCGAGGGGTGCTGGGGCTCTAACTGTGCTTGAATTTCTGTAAATGAGTTTGCCCACAGCGCAGCCATGCTGTGTTTCTAAAGTGAAAAAGAAGTGGCTTGCTCACAGCTGGTCTCCGTCGCTTGTCGAGCTCAATTTCCAGAGAGCCTCTCTGCTGGTAGTATTTTTGCAGTGGGAGCTCTGTGTCTACAATCTAAACTATCTTTACATGAACTGAAGTGCATTTCTGATTTTAAATGTTTGTTTTCTGAGGATTTCTGAAGGACTGATTTGGGAAAACCTGTGTTTTAACAGATGTCCCACATTCCTGCTCCGTTGGTAAAAGTGAAAGACTGTTTTCCCAGACTCTGACTCCTGCGTGGACTTTCTGGTCGCCGCCCATTCAGAGCACAGCCTCTCCTGCCAGATGTTTGTCTTCCTGCTTTCTCTGTTTAAAGGGTTCAGAGGAGATTTAGCTGCTTTAGCCACGTAATTATTTTTTTCAACAATTAAGAACTTTGACAACTGGCATTCACAAGCTAATGTGGAGGCACAGAAACCGCAATTTAATTGCAGAGCTTCAGAAGCTCTAACTGAGAGGGTTTGGCCTCCTACCTCCCACAAGGGCGCTGCTGGTGTGCCCGGAAGTCAGCCCCCCGGGAATTTGACGGAGCCTCCTGGCCGCCACCCAGGGCCCGTGAGTCATGAAGAAACCCCGTGTGCAAAAGAAACCCTTGGCAAACAAGAAATGGCTCTTGAGAAGGTCTGTGTCTGCTCGGGAGAGGAGGAAGTTGAATTAAACACGGGACAGTGTTCGTTCTGCCCCCCGCGTCCCACCCGTGGCCCCTTCCGGCCCTGGCCCTAGAGACACAGACTCGAGGCCGGTCCCCCTAAGGATGCAGGTGGCCCTGGGGGCAGGACCGGCTCTTTCTGAGGAGCAGTGGGACCTCAGAGCCAACTTCCTCTGGGAAGAGGGAGGACACGTGCTCGGCCTATGGAAAGTCGGGAAATGGAGGGTCGGGGATTCTGGACAAAGCAGTGCACGGAGGTGCTTCTGGCCCGTTGTTCTGAGGCCAAATCCTTCTTTGTCCCTGGACTGTAGGAGAGGGCTGGGGTCATTCTGTTGCCAAATTTCAAAGAGGTCCCCCTCACCCCATCCAGTGTTTTATATCCACAATCTCAGGTGAGCAGAAACGGCCCATGTCTTGACTTTCTTTCCTCAGTGTGGACTCCAGGCCCCCGTTTACCCCAGGCTGGGCCCCCGACTGGGCCCGAGGTGCTGGAGAGGCCTGGGCCCTCTGCGCCCCCTCGCAGCTGCCACAGGGGGCTCTACGAGCCTGGAATGGGCACATGTCTCTCCTTAAAATACCGAAGTGTGTCCTGGAGGCCGGCCCCTCCCCAGAAGGCAGGGTGCTGCCGGCCAGCCAGGCCAGGCAGGGCATGTCCCCTCCCCGAGGAACCCAGGCGGACGGGGGTGTGTGCTGTGGATCGGGGCTCCTGGCAGGCGGGGCCTGTCTGCTCGAGTGGGATCCTCCCTTGACCCTGAGCCGAGCTGGCGGAGGAGGTGGCTCTTGGCACTCTTGGGAGAGGGAGGAGGAGGGGCAGGAACTAGGGCCCGCCTTACTGAGGCTGTTCCGGGCTTGGAGCACGGACAGCATGACCGGAGGAGATGGAGCACCAGGGTGTGGCCCTTCCCAGCTCCCAGGGCCAGGCTGGTCTGGAGGAGACCCTCCCCGCCGTCCCCCAGAGCCCGGCCCCGTGGTCCAGCCCTCCTCAGCCACCACAGCTCGGCCGCCTCCCCGCTCCCCTCCCAGGGGCTGCTTATTTTAAAGTCAGGTATATGGAGATAATGGGTCAAAGGCTCAACCGTCCATGTTCCGAGTTTTGCAAACACGCAGTCATGTAACTGCCACCACGAGGGAGACACAGCTGCCGGCCAGTGCAGAAGGTCCCCTGCTGTCCCTGCACAGCCCACCGCCGTGTCCTCTGGTTTTGTCTTCTCAGCCGTCACACAGCCGCAGGCTCTGGGCCCCACTGGATGCGCCCACGCTATCGTGTGTGTCCACGGCGGCTCCCATCTGCGGCTCAGGAGCTCCTGCCACGTGGACTGGCCACGGCCTGTGGGTCCATTCTCCCAGGACCACTCGGGTTAGCGCTGGTTTTGGCAATTGTGAATAGGACACGATGCCCCCTACCCAAGCCCCAGCAGGCTCTCCCGGGAGCTCAGCCTTGATTTCCGTTGGTGAAAAGCCGAGGCCCTGGCTCCTTGTCCACACCCACCATCCGTTTCTGCTCAGGCTCCTGGGCTGTGTCGTCTGTGCTCCATCCGCTGGTCCCCAGCCCCACACACCTCAGCTGTTCTAAAGAAAGTCTCATCACATCCTCTGCCGCCCCTTCCAAGTCCCAGGGTCTCTCGGGGGCCCAAGACCCCCACATCTCCGAGCCCCTCCTGCTCTGTCTCCACCCTTCTTCAGTGACATCTGTTCGCCCCCACCCGGCTCTACACAGCCTCCCAGGCTCCAGGCCGGTTCTCCTAGGACAGCACTCATGTCCGCGGTGGGGACTGGGGGTCTGCATGTTGGTGCTCCCACCAGACTGCGGATTCGTGGAAGGCAGGGCAGCTTCTGATCAAAACCTGACTCCCAGACCAGTAGGCACCTGGCCCTGCAGTGGCGTCCAAGGGGGACATGGACAGAGAAGTCTGTGCCACAGAAAGGGGCCGGTGTACAGAAGGGGCAGAGGGAAACCTCACGCACGAGCCAGAACGCTGCAGGGGCAGGAGGGATGGGGCAGAAAGGTGTTGGTCTTTCTTAGGTTGGCGCCTGGGCCCAGCCCCGGAGTGCGTGCTCTTGCTGCTGGCCCCCCGTTCCTGAGCCCACAGGCTGGCCTCCATGCCCCATCCACCCTGGAGGCAGCATGGACCCCCGTCCTCTCTCCTTGGTGCTCTGCCTCCCCTGATCCCTCCTGCCCGGATGGGCTCACCCCGCTGCACCCACGCCCTCCAGCCCCCGTGATACCACCTGAGTGAGCTCGGTCCTGGAGGCTGTCCTGCCCAGTCCACACACTGTTTAGTGCGGACAGAGGTTCAGTTTGGGAAGATGGAACAGTCCTGGAGATGGATGGTGTGGATGGCTGCACTCAGTGCTGCTGAGCTGCGCACTTACAAATGGCCCAAATGGTAAATTTTAGGGGCGCCTGGGTGGCTTAGTCGGTTGAGTGTGCTGACTCTTGGTTTCGGCTCAGGTCATGATCTCAGGGTTGTGGGATCTAGCCCCACACTGGGCTCCGTGCTGGGCATAGAGTCTGCTTGGGATTCTCTTTCCCTCTGCCCCTCCCCCGCCTCAAATAATTTTTTTCATTTTTTACATTTAAATTCAATTAACATATACTGTATTGTTAGTTTCAGGGGTAGAATTTAGTGACTCATCAGTTGCATATAACATCCAGTGCTCCTTACATCAAATGTCCTCCTTAATGTCCATCACCCAGTTACCCCATCCCCCCTCCTCCCATCCCTCCAGCGACCCTCAGTTTTTTTCCTATGCTTAAGAGTCTCTTATGGTTTGTCTCCCTCTCTGTTTTCGTCTTCTTTTTCCTTCCCTTCCCGTATGTTCATGTTTTGTTTCTTAAATTCCACATATAAGCGAGATCATATGTTTGTCTTTTTCTGACGGACTCATTTCACTTAGCATAATACCCTCCAGTTCCATCCATGTCGTTGCAGATGGCAAGACTTTAATTTTTGATGGCTGCGTAATATTCCGTTGTGTATATAGATCCCCTATTCTTTATCCATTTAACTAAATAGATATTTAAGAACCAAAGGCACAGGAGCAGCAGGTAAGTGAAGAGCCCAGGAATGGCAGCACCGTGGCCCCCATGTGGCCGTCACGTGTGTCCAGCATGTTGGGTGCTCACTCTGTGCATGTCAAATGGAGGTTAAGGGCATACAGTAGGTCTTCATGGTTTTCTCCCTGCTGCCCGTGGTCTCACAAGCACGTCCAGGAGTGTAAGGAGGCCGTGCATCTCACCGGGAACGTCCCCATCTGCAGGACCTCACTTGTGAGCAGCGCAGCCTGTCAGAGGCAAAAGGAGAGCCCACGGGGCACCACTTACCATCAGCTCCTCCGTCTTCATGAACTGCAGCCCTGGACAGGTCGCCGCACCTCTCCACGCCTCCACGTCCTTGCTCAGGTGAGAGCCAAGACCTGTGCTTCCTCGGGCTGTCAGCGCCCCTCGTGGAGGCTGCCTGGTCTTCCGAGGCACCCGAGGCCAGGTGGGCCCATGCACCTGCCCCTCTGCAGGGGGTGGAGGTGCGGGAGAGCTCAGTGGCGCGCCAGAGGCCGTCCTGTGCAGGAGCGCAGGCCCGCACGGGACCCCAAGTCCCCGGAGCTGGAGCCAGCCGGCGGGCTGCTCTCCAGCCGCGTATCTTCTGCATCAGAGAGGTCAGCAAATTCAGTAAAGAGCTGGAAAGTCAGTATTTCGGACTTTGCAGGCCACATATGGTTTCCGTTACATATCATGTGTTCCTGTTTTTGTTTCTTACCGGGTCTTAAAGATGTAAAACCCGCTTGTGTCTGGTGAGCTGTACAAAAGGAAGCTGTGGGCGGGCCGTAGTTTGCCCCCCACACGTGCTGGTGCCCCAGGGGTCTGAGGAATGGCCTCGCTTCTTGTCCCACAAGGAAAGTCTGGCGTCCGTGTGACAATGTGTCTCCCGGGGCTGTGTCTGGTGCCTGATCTAGAAGCCTGGCGGGGCAGGCCCTGGGCGCGGTGCTGTCCTGCCCTGTGTGCATGGAGGGTTCATGCCCCTTGCTGCTCCTCCCGGCTCCTCCCGGCCCCCCAGACAGGTGCCAGCAGGCAGTCTGCCGTCCCGGGCGTCAGGGAGAGAGAGAGGTGTGGGGCCTTCTACTGAGGCGGCAGGTCTCTTTCCGGTCGGCACGTCTCAGAATCCACCCCACAAAAGGACTGGGGCATGTCTGGCAAAGCAGACACTGGCCGGCCAGAACCCCTCTCTGAAGGGCTGGGAAGGGTGGGAGCGGGCTCCGAAGACATGGGGGACCCAGGCTGGGGGCCGCGGGGACGTGCCCTGGGGCGCGCGCTGGCGGCAAGGAGTGTTCGTTAGCAAGGCGCCAGGCCCCGGCGGACACAGGACATTCAGAGAAGAAGAGAGTGCACAGAGCAGGGCATCGCAAGTGGGGAGGGCATCCCGGCAAGAGGGGGTGGCAGATGCCGGGGCCCAGGGGAGGGGCCCACACCCGGAGATGCTGGGGCTGGTCCGTAGGAGACAGACTTCAGTGGAGGACGTGGGATGTGCTCTTGGGAGGGCAGGTGAGGCCCTATTGGAGGGGGTCTTACAGGTCATGCACAGGGCGCTGTGTTTTGACCTATGGGCAGTGGGGAGCCGTAATCCACACCACGCATCCGGTGGGACCTGATCCCGAGCTAGAGCGCAGGAACCACAACTGGAGCTCATCCAGGTCCCTTGGGGATTTGTGGAGGGAAGGAAGGAAGAAACGCAGGCGGAACAGATTGCGGGAGACGGGGCCGTGGAACAGAGGGCGGCCTGGGCAGGGGGGCCCGGCCCCCAAACAGTCACCAGTCGGACATGGGGGCGGGTGACGGGCTGCCGGCCTGGGATAGCTTCAAAGGCACCAGATGCTTGGATTTATTTACACTTTTCGTGTTTCAACTTGGAATTTTCGCTTACTTTGTATTTGTTGTAAAGTCCTCTCAAAGTAGTACACACCAGGCTGAAGGGTCAACCTTGGAAAAGATGGAGAGTGAAAGTCACGGCCTCTGCTCCGTGTGCCCCCGCCCCAGGCCCACCGAGGCAGCCCCTTGGAACTTGTTCTGGAGAGTTCTTCCCGGGGCGGTCTCACAGTGCTTAACATGCTCATTCTCTAATGTCCCTTTAGGGCCAGCTGTGGCCACGGCTGATGTGGGCTCCCGGGGCGGGCGGAGCCCCCGTCCGGGTGGCTTCACACCACCTTTGGTCCCCCAGTGTGGTTCTAAGTCACATGCTTAACAGTAGGGGCGAGGGAATCCCCTGTAAAACGAGGCTCCACCAACGTTTGTCCGCCAGACTCAGGGAGACCGAGGGTGCCCCTGCCGAGCCTGGGCGTGGGGGATGTTCCGAAGCCGTTCATCTTCCCAGCGCTGTGTCCCCTGTGTACGCACGCATACGACCCCTACTTTCCACTGTCCGCCTGACACGTACTCTGCGCAGCCGGGACTTGGCGTGGAGCTCTCCCTTCGGACTCCGGGCTCGATTACCACGTTTCCTCCACAGACACGCGTATGCAACTATGCGCTCACACACACCCCCAGCGGCACGGGGGAAAGGACAGCTTTAGGTTGCCGGTCCGGCGGGAGATCCCAAGGTGGCGCTGGCAGGGTGGCTGTCCGGCATGTGTGTCCCGCTCAGCGTCCAGGGCCCCGAGGGGGGGCCAGGGGGGCCTCTCCCCTTCCCCCTCACGTCCCCGGCATAGCGCACCCTGAGTGAAAGTTTGCTCAACAGGTGGATTGTGACCGTGGCACCTGGTCTTGTCTGTTGTGCTTTAAAATGTAGGTATTATTACTACTCAGGTGTGGCAGGCAGGCATCAGATCAGAAGGTAGCTCGCTACCCACGGTCCCTGAGGGTGGACCTGCTGTGGGGGGCCACACGGGAAACACTGGGGTCAGCCAGCGAGTACTGTGATTTCCACGGAAGGAACAGGCGAGGCAGACTGTAGCGGGTGAATGACCTCAGCGGGCTCTGGGCAGGGGGCCACCAGAGATGTCTGGCACCTGGTGCTGGGCGACCAGGGCAGGCGCAGTGATTGGGTGGCAAGAGCTGACAGAGGCCGCGGTGTGGCTCCGCGTGGGTTGTTTGAATGTGGAGGCAGCCCCCAGGTGAGCCCCTCGCCATCTCCAGGCGTGGCCCGTCCCTCCAGGGTCTGCAGGGCCCTAGACGCCAGAGCATCAAAGGCAGCAAATGAGAGATGGAGTTAATACACTTGGGTTCTCAGTGCCTAGTTCAGGCACCCGCTCCTCAAGGCTGCAACTCTGGTCTTCGCAGTCACCCCAGGAGACCTGGTTCCTCCCTGTCTGTGCTCTCCTGTGCGTCATCGTCACCTGGGAGCGTGCCCGGGGAAAGGCAGGGCACTCACTACCCAGGAGACGGCTGGCGGGCGGTGCCCCTCCTGTGGTGACGTCACAGTGGGCGATGGGCGCTTGCCACAGGCTCGTGCCTCTGTGTTCTAGCTCATCTCTCTGAGGGGAAGGCAGGGGGACATCCTGGGAAGTCTGAGGGGGCACCAGAGATAGTCCACACCACAGAGCACAGCCAACTTGCTCAAATGTGCGAAGAGCATGGGGAGGCCACGAATCTGGTACCCAGTTACAACTTTAGTTTATTCTTGCCAAGCTGCCTAATCTGCCAAATTGCTCAGCAGCCTTAGAGTTGAAATCAGGTGTTTGCTCAGGAGTATAGCAGAGATTCCTTTCCAGAAACATTCCCGCACCCGCACCCGCACCCACACTGCCTGCCCTTCACTCCTCGCACTGGAGCCCAGGGACATCACCCTGGTGTGTGTGGCATCAGCCATGCAGCCCGCAGCAGGATTTAGGGGACCACAGAGAGAAGGGCTCAAGCAGTCACACTGAGTAGCAGCATCTTCAGACTTAGGAGGATTTGGCTACCCCTCATCATCCCAATGACAGAGGGTGGGGGAGGGGGACCAGCGAAGCTGCCGGCCCTCCTGCTGGTTCCTGCGCTGTTTGCAGAGCTGAGCGTATTGTTCACACGGGACACACAGGAGCCCTCACCGCGTTCCGTACAGTGCTCGAAACGTCGTGCACTTCCATGCGCATGTCTGCAACACCGTGAGGCAAAACCCTGTGTCCTCTGTACCCCATGCCCCAGTCAAGGGACCTTCAAAGGTAATCTGATGCACGTAGACTTCCCCGTTGGTACAGACTTGAGGACAACTCGTGTCAGATAAAACTCAGGTATGAATTGGACATAACGCCAGTCGGCTCTAGTTCTAGCCCATCTGATGCCCTCAACAACCCCGGACGGCCAGGGTGCTCCTTGCTTCGCAGATTACGGAGCACAGCCCACCAGCTTTAGGCTGCTTTGTTAACTGCGGGGCATGAACCAAGCTGGTGATTTCTTTGGAGGAGGTCAAGATGATTCCCTGGTCTTCATTATTTGGCTCTGGTTTGAAGCTCGTGGCCAACTCCGGGAGCACAGACGTGGCCCCGAGAGATGGTCTCGTGGTGCCCGGGCTCCTGGCTCTTCAGCGCCGAGTGCTGGGGGTCCATCCTCACGGAGCAGGGTGTCCCTGTGATGTCAGCTTCAGCAGACCTCCTGGGCCTCCAGGCCGCTCCAGCCTCTGCTATTCCTTCAGTGGTCCCTCCTCCTGCGGGACATGGTGGCAGTCTTGGGCAGGCTGGCCACACCAGTAAGAGGGCTTGAGAGAAGACTGTGCTGTTCACTGTTGCTGTTTGGACTCTGCCTTTGAAAATCAGTTTCGTCTGCCACAAATTCTCAGTGGTTCTGCATCGTGGTCGGTGGTAATCTCCCCTGCCGAGACGTGAGTGGCTCGTCCCGAGCCCCCCACTAGAAGAGGGAAAGTGAAGGGTCCTCTCTCCTTCCATCTACCTGGCCTCACCGTGAGCCTGCAGTGGACTTGACGTTGTGGAGGCCCTTACGCTATCAGTAGCTACCACCGAGTGGCAGGCACCTCACCAAGCACGCCACGGACGCTGCAGCCAGTCCTGACAAGGCCCAGGAGGCTGTGGCGTGGCAGAGTGGAAGGGACTTTGCTCTTCTAATCCCAGCGCTGCCCCTTTCTGGTGTGTGCCGTGGGCATGTTACCCAGCATCTTGGCCCCTTCCCAGCTTCCCTGCACAATTATCATCTAACGCAGTCGTGAGGATTCCATGGAGCACCCAGTATGGTGTGTTTTTGCTGAATGACCAATCGAGCATCCTCATGCTACCATCACCTCTGTCCTCCACCTGGTGTCCTGTGCAGGTGACCCTTGATACCTGCTTCAGAACACATTCCACAGATGTCAATGGCCTGGGGCATGGCGGGTCCTGAGTGCACAGAGCTGGGACATGGAGGGAAAATGCATCAATCACATGTGCCTCAGTGATGGAGAACCAATATGTGGATGTGGAAGCTCTTTGGGGACCACAGGTCTCACCAGTTGGCCAATAAATGTGCCTCAGTGATGGAGAACCAATATGTGGATGTGGAAGCTCTTTAGGGACCACAGGTCTCACCAGTTGGCCAATAAATAAGATCTTATTAAAAAACGGAAACAAAGTGCTGAAAACCAGTGATGAAGAGAAAATCTTAAAAGTGACCACAGGGGGAAAAGATGTTCCATACAGAACAAAAATAAGGATGACATCCGATTTCTCATTGGAAACAATCTAAGCAAGAAGATAGTGGAGCAAAATTTTAGAAGTATGCATTTAAAAAAATAAAAGTCAATCTAGAATTCTATATCCACTGAAAATATCTTTCAAAAGTGAAGGCAAAATAAAAACCTTTTCAGACACACAAAAGTTGAAAGTATTCCTCACCTGCAGACCCACACTTGAAGAGATGTTAAAGGCGGTCCCGTCAAGCAGAAGGAAAATCTGGATCCACACAGAGAGATGAAGAGCACCAGAAATGAAGCCAACACAGAACTCCCAAAGATTTTTCTTGTATTACTTAAATCTCTCTAAAAGATCATCAGTTTTAGGGCGCCTGGGTGGCTCAGTCGTTATGCGTCTGCCTTCGGCTCAGGTCATGATCCCAGGGTCCTGGGATCGAGCCCCACATCGGCTCCCTGCTCAGCGGGAAGCCTGCTTCTCCCTCCTCCACTCCCCTTCCCTCTCTCGCCATGTCTCTCTCTGTCAAATAAATAAATAAAATCTTAAAAAAAATTAAAAAATAAAGTAAAAGATAATCAGTTTTAAAACAACGATATATCGTGGGGTTTACAATATGTAAAAGTGAAATGCAGGACAAGAAGAGCACAAAGGCCAGGAGGGACAGGGTGGGAGGGCGCTATATGTGAAGGGCTGCAACATCCTTGGAGGCAGACGGGGATAAGTTAAAGATAAATATGATCAGCCCTAAAGCAACCACTAAAATGACAAAGACAGAGTTATAGAGAATAAGCCAGCAATGGAGATAAAACAAGATCACAGAAAAATACTCAATCCTAAAGAAGGTAGAAAAAGAGGAAAAAAGGAACAAAAACCAGATTGGGCAAATGGAAACAAATAGCAAGATGATAAAACTCAAATCTAGCTACGTCAGTAATCACATGCAATGAAAATTATCTAAATCCTTCAGTTAAAAAGGTGATGATCAGAATGGATTAAAAAATCAAGACCCAACTATATGCTGCCTGTGATAAATACACTTTAAAAAGGAAGACACACGCAAACAGGTTAAAAGTAAAAAATGGGAAGAAATAAGTCATGCTAACATGAATCAAAAGAAGCTACAGGGGCTTTATCAACATCCCAAAAAGCAGATCTCAGACCAAATAACGTTATCAGAGGTAAAGAAGGTCACCTCATTTTTTAAAAAAAGATTTTATTTATTTTGAGAGAAAGAGAAAGTGGAGGGAGAGGCAGAGGCAGGGGGAGAGAAAATCTCAAGCAGACTCCACACCGAGTGCAGACCCCAACTCAGGGCTCGATCTCACCACCCTGAGATCATGACCTGAGCTGAAATCAAAAGTGGGACGCTCACCCGACTGAGCCACTCAGGACCCCGAAGGTCACTTCATTCTGATGAAGGAATCAACTAATCGAGAGAACACAGGGGTCCTAAATGTTTGTGCGTCTAATGAGGCTTCAAAATAAAAAAGTAAAAACTGATAGAAGGCCCAGGAGAAATGGACAGATGCATAATTTTCAATACCATTCTCGCAATCGCTGGCAAAACAAGTAGGCAGGAACTCAGCATATACACAGTAGACTCAGACGACGGCACTGGCCAGACAGCGCTTCGCCACTCCGCCCAGCAACCGCAGAGTGCACAGCCCGCCAAGACAGACCATGGAGCAAGTCTCGCTATTTAGAGGGATTGAAATCACACCAAGTACTTCTCTGACCGCAATACAGTTCAATCAGGACTCAATGACAGAGATCTCTGGGACGCCTCCAGAGAGCACAGAGCGAGGAAGAAACCAAACGGAATCCACTAGCTGTTCTGAACGGGATGGAAATGAAAACACCATGTTCACTCTTGAACACATGCCGCTTGGCCATGGGATGGTGTTACATCAATGTGGTGGTGTAGTCCCTCCCCTAACATTATGTTTACTGTAATTGCACTGGTATGTGTAAGTAATATCTGTTTGTAAATTTTGCTCCTTCGATATCGTCTTCTCAGGATTGTGTCTCAACATCCTACTTGTTTCATAAAAGGCACTTCAAAGTCCTCCATGTTCTGTGCTCTGGAACAAGTTGAAGATTTGATAGAATTCTTCTTGGGAACAACGGGGCCAGGTGATTTTGAGTGGGATAGTCTCTCAATAACTTTATTTTGTTGGTACAGAAACTATTCTGCTCAAGCTTTCTCTCTCCAGTGGGGTCAATTATGTTAAGCTATTGTTTCTTAGGAAATTATCCAATTAAAAGTAGTCTTCTATTTTAAAAAATATTCATTTGATTCAATGGTTATTTCTCCCTTCTCATTTCTTATTTCATATATTTTTATTTTTTCTAGATTAATTTATTCAGTGCTTTGTTTATTTTGGTGTTATTTTAATCAATATTTTGTTAATTATAGTATTGTTTTTCTATTCTCTAGCATTTCTTTTTTTTAAGGTTTTATTTATTTATTTGACAGAGGGAGAGGGAGCACAAGCAGGGGAAGCAGCAGAGGGAGAGAGAGAATCTCAAGCAGACTCCCTGCTGAGCAAGGACCCCCCCCGACAAGGGACTTGATCCCAGGACCCAGAGATCATGGCCTCAGCCGGGGGCAGACGGGCAGATGCTTAGGGACTGAGCCATCCAGGTGCCCCTCAAACTCAACTCTAAGAAAGCAAACAATCGAAATAGGCAAAGTATTTGTACAGACTCTTCACCAAACAGCACATGAAAGGATTCTCAGCGTCACTGGTCACAATGAGATCCCACGCACACCATTAGAAAGACAAGGCCACACCGAGTGTTGGCAAGGATGCAGAGGAAGTGGGGCTCTCGTACATGGTCGCAGGGAACGTAAAATTGTACAAACACTTCAGAAAACAGTTTGGCTGTTTCTCAAAAGGTTAAACATATGATCTACTCATTCCACTCCTGGGTCTCAATACCCAAGAGGAAAGGAAATATATATGCCTACAAAGACGTGCCCACAAACGTTCATAGTAGCTTTATTTATAATAGACAGAAACTGGAAACCATCCAAACATCCAGACAAATGCATAAACGAACGGCTGCACACAACAACCTGTAAATGAGTCTGAAAATTGCTGTGTGAAAGAAGACAGACAAAAAGCGAGCACGAATCCATTTATATAGAATCCTAGAAACTGTGGCGTAGCAAGCAGTTAGAGAAGGGAGGGCAGAGATTGCTGGGGAGGCACTGGAGGTGCTGAGGGGGGAAGGGAGGTGATGGTAAAGGGGCGCAGGATAGAAGGGCTCGCCCCCCTGGTTGCGGTGATGGCTTCCCCTCATCCAGTAAGCTTCAAAACCTATCAAATTGTATAATTTTCCCATGTCAATTATACTCAGTAAAGCTGTTTTTAAACTTTAAAGGATGTTTTGAAGAGCTGGGTTTATCGCACTCCTCCGAACCACTGCTTTATCAGCCAAGAAAGCATCCACCTCCCTCTGTTGTTCACTTGGGTGTTTGTGTCTGTTGGGTGCCCGCTGGGGGCCTGGCAGAGGGCGTCCGACAGTGAGCAAGACAGGGGTCCTGCTCAGTGAATTTAAGGCCCTGCTGGACGGACCGGTGGGTTCGGGTCATTAGTATCTCAGTTATGTTAAAGGAACAGGGACGTGTTACGCTGAAGTTCAATGGTGGACAGACTCGGGTAGTTTTGAGAACTGGCCCCACGGTCCCCGCTGAGCGGGAGGGCTCTGCTCCAGGGCACCTGCTGGTTTCACTCCCAGTTCACTCCGCGGCCAGAGAAGCCAGTTGTGTTTTAAATGCGATCCAGGGCTGGAGAAATAAGCAAGTCTGCTCTCTTGTGAGCTTCTCCATGTGAGTTGCTGTCGCATTACAAAATAATTTTACTGCATCACGTATTCCTTATCATAAAAACAGAAATTCAAATGACTCACTCATTTTTGGAATCTCTTAAATTTTTTGTTGTTGTATTTGTGGTTCTGTTCTCTATACAAAGCCTAAAATACTTAGAAAATACGTCATTTTATATTTATTTATCACAAAATGGATCATTTTACAAATGTAAAAAAGTCCACAATTTGTAGCATTTAATATTTCTTGTATAGCACAGAACTGCAAGTTTTCTTGGAAGCCAAAGAACAACCAAAGTAATATTAAAAACTCAAAAGAAAGAGAAAGAGATATTTAACATCTTGCAAGACCCAGGTGGGTGAAGGATACAGACGAGCTCACTGGCCTGCTCTTCATCCACTTTGTTCTCTCTCGCCTGTGGGAGCCACTATCCCAGAAAACCCTCATTTCCATGGCCCCAACACTTTGTGGACTGGTGGGAGTGGACGTGGCCTTTCCTGGCCGTCCCCACTCGTGCAGCTCCCCGGGCCCCTGGTCAGCCGTGCTGCGCTCTCTGATGACCCTGGTGGTGCGCAGGCCTCCCCGCGGGTCCCACCCTCCTCATCTCTGGCCTGGACCCTGCAGTGGCTCCCACGTGGGCTCCTCATGCCCACACAGCCCCACTAATAGCCAGCGCTTTAGCTCATACCAGTCCCTTGTTCAAAATCCCCACTTGGTGGCGGGGGTCCACATACTGCGAATAAATCCAAGGCCTGGCCCCCCTGCCTCTCCAGCGCCGCGTCCCCACTCCGCCCAGCTGTGTCTCAGCCTCAGCGCCTGGCCACTCCTCAGACGTCCTTTGTGCTTTGTGTCATAAGACCAGTGCTTGGCCATCATTCGGTCCTGCCTCTGAGGACAGCTTCTCCGAGATGCCTTCCCGGACCACCCCAGGTCAACAGCTGCCTGCCCCCTGGGCGCTCCGCTGCTGTGCCCACCGCGCTCCATGTCCCTTCATCTTTCTGCAGTGTGTCTGTAAGGGCCGCGAGGCGGCCCGCGGGAAGATTACTCTAGTGGGTCAAATAAGGCCTCAACACACACCGGGCGGGCTACCGGGGGCGATAGGGAGGGCAGGCATATCTATTTATCAACTAAACTGGCAACTTGAAGACGGTTTTGGAAATGGGGGAGAGTCGCATCATTTCTCGGTCAGCTCGCAATGTCGGGACGTGTTTGTGCCGTGCTATGGTGACCGATGGTGACATGTGCGGGACTGCGGTGACACGCAAGGGTGGAAGAACCGGTCGCTGCCCGGGGCAGAGGGGGTGTGGGGAGTCGAGCCCCATCTGCCGAGGGCCTACTGCCTGCTGCGTGTGGCTGTATGTCCTGCGGGGTCACCTCTCACTCCATTCTCTGTGGGACCCGGGTCCCTTTTCCACAAGCAGGAATCTCAGATGCAGGACTCTCCCGCCATCAGAGCCAAGGTGACGCCAGCGTCCGCAGGACCTCACCGCGCCTTGCGACGGAAATATGTCCCAGAGCTGACGGGGGCCGAGGTTGACGGGATGAGCGGGTGATGGGCCGATGGGCTGAGACAGGGAGGGGCTGTGGCCGTGGACAATCCAGGGCAGAGATCTTGACTTTTTCTAGAACAATCACGACGGACGGGTCTGAGATTTCATTCCCCTCAAAATTATTTGGGTAATCCTTCTATTTGGCCATTCTTTTTTTTTTTTTTTTTTTAAGATTTTATTTATTTATTTGACAGAGAGAGACACAGCGAGAGAGGGAACGCAAGCAGGGGGAGTGGGAGAGGGAGAAGCAGGCTTCCCGCAGAGCAGGGCGCCCGATGTGGGGCTCGATCCCAGGACCCTGGGAGCATGACCTGAGCCGAAGGCAGATGCTTAACGACCGAGCCACCCAGGCACCCCGTATTTGGCCATTCTTTCAGCAAGGATCTGCATTTGATTGTAATGAAAGCTCATGAGCAGTGATTTTTAAGAAACTAAGGGTTCTGTTTTCCTACTGAGATGTCCAGAGGTGGGGAGCCAGCCCAGGCAGCTGGCTGCCCTTGAAGCTCTGCCCTCTTCTCCGGCCACGCTGGGGGTGCCCTTGCCACACAGGGTCACAAGGTGCTGCCCTGCGTGGGCACCAGCCCCAGGCCGGCAGGAGGAAGGGGAAGGGCAGGGGTCAAGACTTGTCCCAGAGGCATCTGCCCACTTTGAAGCTGCTTTCCCAGAGGCCCCACCCAGCCACTCCTACTTCTGCTTCTGTTGCATGTCTGGTCACCCCTAACTGCAAGGGAAGCAGGAAACGAATGTAGTATTTTTAGTTGCCCACACATTGCTGGCAGGGCTCAGGGTTCTTTGGGGAGGAAAGGTGAAAATGGGTGCTGGGCTGGCGACCATGGGTGCCAGCCCCACCCAAGGAGTCCCTGGCCCATGGAGGACAGGAGGCCGAGACAATGCTGTGAAGCATGCCCACGCCTGCCCTCGGGAGGTCGCTCCTAAGGAAGCGTTCACGCTGCCTCCACAGGACATGCAGAAGCTCCTCTGGGAGCTCCGCGCCAGGGCCACCGACACACGGGCCATGCTCTGTGCCACCAGAGTGCCCAAGAGCCACTTGGAAAAGGCAGCAAGCACTCCTCCAAGCTGGAGAAGTTACAGCTGGTTGCCCGGGAACTTGACACAGCCTGGCAGCTGGGCCAGCCGATGAAGACACTCTGGTGGCAACACTCGAACGTGGTGCAGTTTCTCCACGAGCATCAGAGGCTCAAGGTGAACAGCAGAGACTTGTGGGGGGCGGCGTGTCCCCCCAGGGCCCCACCACAGACACTATTTCCATCGGGCGTTATTTTCAAGAGCTCATCAAAGCAACGGACACCGCTGCCTGTCACCCTCAAGACTTACCCAGTGCTGGCCAGCTCCTGGCAGGGAAGTCGTGGCGCCCAGGGCCACCGATCCCAGCAAGTGTTTGAGGATACTTCGTGCAAGGCGGGTCAGGCATGGTGCCAAAACTGGAGGAAGAGACAAAGCTTCCCGGGAGCCCATCTTACCCCTTTTTTCCCCCGTTCCACCCGCGCAGGGAATCAATCATACAACACAGTACTTTGGCCTCAAAATGCCAGCAACTTTTATCATTTTGGCTGCAACTTGAAAGTTGCTAGACTTTACTTCTTAAAAAGAAAAAAAAAAAGATTCTTTCTACATTGTGGTTTTTCTCTTGATTTGGGGGTCTTACATTGCCAATTGACCATCTGAAACTTTTCCTTTTCTTTCTTTTGAGCAGAAATCTGCTGTAACAGCTTGTTGTCTGAAGCTCCCATCGGAGGTTCTGAATCGTGGGGGCCGCTGGCTTGGCTGTGGGGTGAGTGCTGCACGAGGGAGTTCTTGGCCCTGCTGAACAGAACGGCTTTGTGCTCTGATGACTTTCATGGCTCAGTTGGGCCTCAGATACTAGAAATCACAATAGCAGTGTTTCTCCAGAAGTGAAGCCTTTGGCTGGCTCTCGCCCGTGGCCTTTCGACGTCCATCCTAATAACCACAATTTGTCGAATGCTTAGTATAACTACGAGGCACTCCTTCTGCTAGGGAGTTAATTTCTTTCTCAAAGTCACTGAAAGAGATGAGGTTTATTATCTCCACTTTATAGGAGGAACCTCAGGGTCCAAGAATTGAGATAAGTAGCCCAAGAGGACGCAGTCCTTGGAGGGATGGGATGTAATGCGAACCCCAGTCCATCGGGTGGAGGCCTGGCTGCTTCCAGCCCACCCCAGAGTCCTTGAAGGCAGTACTGGTCTAGAAATGTCTCCCTAAAGGATACTGCTGCCATTCTTCAGGAGGGAGGGGGCTCGTCTTAATGCCAGCCCGCCTGCGTTTAAACATTTGCCATAAAGGTCAGTAAGTGCTTATGGAACCCTCAGTAGCCCCTATTATGCACAAGCATTGCATTCAATGCTCCGCGTAATGACATAACCCACCTCGGAAGGTTAGCAGCAGAGTCCACATGGCACAGCTGAAGAAACGGGCGTGGGGGTGGGGGGAGGCAGATCTAAGATTTGTCCAAAACCACAGCTGGCCACCTGGGTTCCAAAGGTCTTTCTCAAGCCCCCTGCTTCTGCTACCTCCTGGTCAGGGGCATCTGAAACACACGGGGGCAGGATGGGGCGGCCTCGGGTATGACGGGACCCCAAGACTCAGCCCTGTCTCTCTTCTTTCTCTGTTTTCAACACTTGTTTTGTGTATTTTCTGCAGAATGACTTCTCCCCTCGTTACAGACTGGGGTGTGAGGCTGTGGGTGGGTGTGCGAGGTCTCTTCTCCCCGTCCCTCTTTGATACATTCCCAGGAAACGATTCTGCTCCACCTAGACCCAAGTCGGGCCGGAGCCATGCCCCAAAGAGGAGGTGGTGGGGACACAGACTCAACTGACCATGAAGCCAGGCTCATAATAAAAATCAAGCGGTGGGGGGGGGCGGGGGGGGCGGGGGGTACTGTGACAAATAGCAGAGCCCGTGCTGCGCATAAAGAAAAGATTGTCCTGTTGGAATGTAGGCTGAGTGTAGCCAGAGATCCCGGGTTTTTTGAGAAAAGCAAGAAATCCAGATTTTTTATGTTAAATGTCTTGATTCTTTTGAAAGCTGTCAGCTAATTAAAAATAGATTTAAAACATTGTGTGGGCGGAACAAAGCCCTTCTGTGAACCAGATGGGACCTCCCCACCCTCCCCAGTTTGCAGCCTCTGGTAGAGGTGGACAATATAACTGCCCCTCCCCCAGGGCCTGGGGGGGTGCATTTGCCAAGTATAGGCTCTCCCCCATCCGACTGGGACTTCCCAGGCCAGCACTTTTCCAGCGGGCGTGCAAGGAAGCAGGAGGCCCCTGGAGCCACAGGCAGGCACAGTGGGGGGCCCTCGGGAGGCATGCTCATTTTCCTCCATATAGACAGACACACACCGGAGCTCTGCTGTGACCTGGTCCCAAGGCAGGAACCCAGGAGTAAGGGTGAGAAGACTGAGCTCTGAAGAACAGGGAGGCCCAGAGGCAAGCTGGTCATCTGCACCCCGCTGAGTGTCAGGCCAGAGGAGGGGAGCCCAAGACGCCCCCAGGCTCACCTGGGCATGGACGCATCACAGGGAGCTCCCAGGACTGTGTTTTACTCCAAATTTTGGCTGCCAGAAAACAAGGGTGGAGGATGGGTTCTGTCCCGAGGCTGCCTGCAGAGAGGTGTGGACCAGCAGTGGGATCGGGACAGCAAGGCAGGGACACTGGGCCTTTGGGGTCCCATGGGAGTTTGCAGGTCTCCTCAGAACTCTGTGTCTCCTGCTCACTCAGCCTTTTCACATTGTCCGCTGGTCATGGCCCTCACGACCTGGACTCCACTGTGACCTTTCCACCGTTGGTGTCCTTTGACCTCAAGCACTGTGACCTGCCCTTGTCACTTCCCTTTTGATTCCACACGAAGAGATTGAGCACCTACTGTGTGCATGGGGCCCTGTTCTAGGAGATGGGGCCACAGCCGTGAAAATGCAGACAAGCAGGCCAGGTTCAGAGAGCACAAAGACAGCCAGGTGTGAACAAAGTGGGGGGCTCAGGCTGTGTGGTCAGGAAAGGGCTCTCTGAGCAGGCCAGCCTTAAGTGCCATCAGAACGACAGGACCTGCCAGACAAAGAGGGGGACGAGCATTCCAGGCAGCCTGAGCAGTGGTAGGAGCACAGGGAGTGGAGAGGGAGGCTGAGGCCAGGCCGTGGCACAGGATCCGACTTGAACCGAAGGATTGCCGCAGGCTGGTCTGTTACCAGCAGGTCCTTCTGCTTGTGCCCAGTGATGCGTGTTCTTCCTGCCTCTTCCTTCTCTTCCACCCGGCCGTTCCACGGCGCTTTCCTGCTCTGGTCTAAGTGGATGCGGTGTCTGTGCCTGAGGGGGCCCCTGGGACACAGACACCAGGACTTTCACCCATGTTTGCTCTATTCCCAAAGCTGCAAGGTGTTCTACAAAATGCCCTCTCCACCTTCCCTAGACCCCCCCCCGCAGAATGAGACACGGGGTGGGGGGAATGCCCGCCTGCTCAGGTGATCTTGCTGTGAAGTGTCCCCACACTTGAGGGGCTCAAATCAGATGGAAGTCATGTCTCTGTCACAGTCCCAGCTTTCGTGGACGATGCTACCAGAGGATGGGGTTCACTCCAGGTGGCTCTCTGCTACACTCCGTTCCACCCAGGCTGCTGGGAATCAGAGGGGGAGAGAAGAGGCAAGCCCTTCCCCTGGAGGGCAGAACCCAGAAACACCCACATCTCACCAGCCAGAACACAGTCACACATCTCCATCCCGGGACGCTCTACTTGTGCTATTACCTAAAAACCGGGTTCCTGTTTATTGCAGAAAAATGGATACTGGGGAACAACTGACCATGTCTGGATAACTTTTTTTTTCCTGATTATGAAAACAGCACACACTCAGTGCTAAGAATCCAGAAATAGATGGGGCACCTGGGTGATGCAGTGGATAAGCATCCAACTCTTGGTCTTGGCTCAGGTAGTGATCTCAGGGTCATGAGAGAGAGCCCTTGTGGAGCCCTGTGTCAGGCTGCACACTCAGCAGGGAATCTGCTTAAGTTTCTCCCTCCCTCTCCCTTTGCCCCTCCCCCCAGCTCTCTCTCTCTAATAAGTAAATCTTAAAAAAAAAAAATCCAGAAATAGTTAAAGACAATAAAGACCATCAGTAATTCCAGAGCTAACTGATGTTGAAGACTTACGGGGTCATGTCATACACATACTTTTGTAACCTTCTTGCTCAACAATATAACTCGTAACTTCCACGTATCAATAGAGACCTACTTTACCATCATACTTTTTCATGGCATGCTTAAGTGATGACTATGATGAACTTGGAGAGGGCTGTGATTTGCATTTATTTGACTACTAATGAGGGCCACCGTCTTTTCACATTTATTGGTCATATTTATGTCTTTTGTGAATTGCCAGTTCATACCCTTTGTCTCTATTTTAAGGGACTGTCCACTTTCTTCCTATTGATTTGAGAAGAAAATCCACATTACATATTAAGGTTAACATACTAGCACTTCTATAGCTATGTGCACCGACACTAAGTGCTGGTAATGCAGACTCACCTAAACCTTGGCTAAGTATTACTAGAATCCCCACGTTACCCTTCTGAGGCACAGAAAGGCTAAGCAGTGTGCCCAGTGCTGTGTCGTAGTGGAGTCGGGGCAGACAGACCTGGGATTTAAACGCAGCGTCGGGTTCAGGTTCCTGCTCTTAACCGCTAGACATTTTAATTAAGGTTTGCCAGTTACAGATTTTACAAAATTGTTTTTCCAATTTGTCACTGGCCTTTTAACCGTTTTTTTTTTAATTGGATTTTCACATACACGGTCGTATCCATTCGTCTTTCCCATCATGGACCCTGGAGCTGCTTGGTTGGCCGGGACCCGAAAGCAGCGCGTCACGTATTTCGTGCGCACTTTCAAAGTTCCAGGTGAGTGCAGAAAACGTCAGAAAGGCTCACAGTGCCAGGCGCTCCTAGTAGACGGCCCCGGTCCGGGCCGCGCGGTCGAAGGGCAGGGCCCCCCCCCCGCACAACCCAGCCAGGTCAGTGGGCTCGCGCCCCCCCCGAGCACCGCCTCCCCCCAGGAGTCCTCCCGGAGTGCGGCCCCGCTGGCAGGCCCAAGCTCAAGCGTGCCCTCCTCCAGGTTCCCGCGAAACCGCCTCTCGCCTCGGGCACGCGTGGCGGGCGGCACTGCGGGAGCTGCGAGGTGTGAACGCAGCGGGCAGGCGCGACCCGCTCGGTTTCGCACCGACTTTCCGCGCGCGGGCCGGAGCCGCGCGGGCCCGGGGGCGGCTCCCGGGGCGGACCCACCGCCCCCGCAGCTGCTGCCCCGCGCGCCCCGGGTCCTGGCCGGGAAAGCCGCAGCGCAGGCGGCAGCTCCGCCGGAGGCTGGCTTGAACGCGGGAACATTAAGGCTCGCGTTGAGAAGCGTCCGGAGACGAGGCTCTTCAAGGCTGGGACGGCCCCCAGAAGCAACTGCCTCAGCCACGGGCTGGTAAACCGAGGCACAGCGGGCAGCCCGGAGGCCGGGCGCACGGCCGCCCAGCGCGCCCTCGGCGCCACGTGACGGCGCCCGTCCGTCACGCTCGGGGGGCGGGGCGCCGCCGCCACTCTCCGGCTCGCCCAATGGGAAGCGGGGAGCGGGCCGGGTAGGCGGGCCCGCCCGCCCCTCCGCCGGCCGCCCAGCGTGGGGCGGGCCCAGCCACCGCCCTCCAGTGGCGTCGCGACGAGCCCGGCTCGGCCGAGGCGAAAGGGCGAGGCGTACGTCAGTCAAGCGGCCCGGCCAATGCCCTCGCGCGCTGCCCTCGCGCCCGCCCCCGCCCCGGCCTCCCGGCGCCCGCGCTGCTTTCCCTCAGGCCGCCGCGGCCCGCCCGCCCGCGCTTCCATCCGGGTCCTCGCGCGCGACTCTCGGGCGGTGGCGGGCGGCGGGCGCGAGGGCTGGGTCGTCCCCGTGGAGGGAGGCGGCGGATGGAGGCCTCTCCTGCGCGCTCGAGGTGGGTACGAAGACGGACGGCGAGCGCAGGCCCGTCGCCATTTCCCTTCCCTCCGAACTCTAGTGGCGGTGGGAGAGGGGAGTGCTGCGGAGGGGCCGGCGCGGGCCCGGAGCCGGGGCGGGTGGGTGGTGAGCGGGGACGGCGGCAGGCGGGCGGGCGGGGGATGGGCGCCGCGTGGCGCGGTCGGCTGGCCCCAACCCCCCTCCGCTTCCCGCCCAGCGCCTCACGGACCGGGGGGAGGGGTCATTCTTCACATTCTTCACCCCGCCCCTCCCCCGGCCTCAATCAAGCTTGGGCGCGGGAAGTCCCGCCCCCGGGGCGCGCCCATTGGCCGGCGCCGCCTCCCGCTGTAGCGTGGCTGGCTGTGGGCACAGCCGGGTCCCCTGACGTCACTTCCGCTATCAGGTTTGTGGGCCGGGGAGACCTTGGCCTTGGGGGCTGGGATGCAGGAGGGAAGGTAGGAAGTGCGGGGGGAGGGCCGGCGCGGGCGGGCGCGGGCGGGCCCTGGGCTGGCTCCCTGCCCCTAATCCGGCCGGCCGAGCGCAGCCTCGGTCCCCGAGCAGCTGTGCGGCCGGCTCCGCCGCGGCGGCCGTCCTTGGGGGAGCGGGGCGGGCGGCGGGAGGAAGTGGGACCCCGGGGGGCGGTCTCGTGCGCGGCGACCCTTCCCCGCCGGCGGCCGCTCGCCGCGCACGCGGGCTGGCCGGGGTCGGTCCACGGCAGGCCCCGGGTGAGGAATGGGTAACCTTTCTGTCCTTGGCCCGCGATGGCCTTGGGTGTCGGAGGGGAGGGTGCGCTCGGTGCCCCGGCCCTTCCCTCGGTGGCGGACTTGTCCCCGCGGAAGAGGGCGTCCAGGCCGCGGGGCCGAGATGCCCGCCGCCGCTTAGGAGAGCGGACGAGCGTGCCGCTTCCTGGGCGCTCGGGCCCTGAAGTTAGCCGCTCCCTGAGCAGCCCCTGCTCTGCTTTCGGGCGGCCCGAAAGCCCTGCGGTAGTACAGGAAGGCTAATGCTAGGGCGTAGACTTGCACGGAGTTTGCCCGTTCCCAGGCTTTTTGCTGGCTGGCGGCTAGGTTCATTACGGTGTGTTGAGGGAGTGTGTGTAGTTAAGGAAGGGAAGCCTGTGGCTGCTTCGCGTGGGTTTGTGAGGGTGTTTGATTTATTACACACAGGCTTGAAGCTTTTGAGTTGAGAGTAGACCGACGTTTTCGTAGTTAGAAAATGTTTTTCTTTACGTTGGAACGGCTGTGGGTCCTTCCCTCTTCTCCACTAAGTTCACACTGCTGAATTTGAGAGACTCAGGAATTAGGCAGGTGTGAGGGAAACAGAATACCTGCTCATAAATAAGAGGAGGTTTGTGAGTGAGTGCAGACTTGCAGAATGAAGACATGAGTATTCTCGAGTTGGTCTTGTTTACTCCTTAAGGGCATTTTATTCGTTAGCATGAACTGGGATTTCTTGGTTTAGAGTACAGCCCGCCTTTTGGATATCTGTGCCTTTTCTTTCGATAGTGAACAGTAATAGCTTTCCTAATAGTAGGAAGTACTCTGTATTAAGAGCTGTATGCCGTTGTCTCAGACTGTAGGTCTTGACTCATGAGATCACTAGTGGGTGATGGTTAGAATTTTTAAAAAACTGGAATAGAAAATATCAATGTGTTACGTGAAACTTGATTCAGTTACATGCACATACATTCCTGTAAAATCTCTTTTTCTGGGGGTGTCAAAAAAGTTTGAAAAACAGTACTTCTAAAGGGAAGGTTTCTCACAGTACTGGTCTTCTGCAAGGAATACTAAAAGCCCTGTTAATTTATCACTTAGAATTTTTAATATCCTGAGAAGCTTTTATTTAGACAGTAAAGGATCCCAGAATATTAATTCCAGTGATTTCTTTTTTTTCATCTCTAGATGAGCGTAGAAGAATCTGGATCCCCAGTAATGAGTTGTCAACATTGCCTCATGTGACCTCAGCACTGGAGTCAAGGAGGCCTGGTCACTTGTGCCCTTTGCCTGTGTGGGTGTTCTAAGCATTGCACAATCACTTAAGAGTGGACTTCATTAAATAACCAGATAAAATGAAAGCCACTACTCCTTTTTTTGGTGCCAGGTCTTTGAAATCTAGAGTGTATTTTACAGTTACAGCACATCTCTCTTTGGGTTAGTTGCAGTCCAATGCTCAGTAGTGACAAGTTGCTAATGGCTACTGAGTGGCTAATGTAATTCTAGTGGATTGTCTAGCTGCTTTTTAAACATTAGCTTTCTGTAGCTGTTCGCAGTTTCATATTATCAGCAGAAATGTTCCCTCTCTCTATAGCCTCATCTCAAACATGAGGAAATTGCATCAGGTGATTTCTTAGGCTCTTTGTAGGTCTAAGATTTAAGTTTTCTGAGGCAGCTGACAACTACACTTCTGTTAAGTGTTACTTTCGCTTCTCTAAGAATATTTCAAGAGATTTTAGGTGATGTTTTAAAAGGACATAATAAGGATGAATATGATTTTGGATCATTTTGTTCTGTTAAGAAACCATTTTTTGCTTTGTGTCAGTATTCATTATCAGGAAGTTATACCAGCTTTCTGTTCACTTGGGAGGTTTGTTTTTATTTGGTCAATTACATGGTAGCTTAATGTATAGGAGGGAGCATTTTTCTTAGAATTCACTTTTGTACAATGTAGATTATGAATTGTCTACCTAGAATATAGGTAATTGCAGTAAACTGGAATCTAGATTTAAAAACCAGAACATACCTTTTCTTGGCTTTTGGGGATGTGTAGATAATACAGTGATTTTTCAACCTGGGAACATATCAGTATAATGAAAGACAGGAAGACAGATTTTAAAGGATTGAGAAATAATGATGTATATATGAGGACTGTTAAGCAGAACAAGTCACCCAAGTTGTTGAACACTGCCTCACCCTTAGTATTTGCATGTATTGTAGTATTTGTAGCAGAATTTTCTTAGTTTTACAGAGGTAGTATAGAATGCTCTTGTAGTAGCAGGAAGATTGGCCCCAAAGTAACATGCAGCATTGGAAAATTTACAAAGGAATACCAAGAATTGAGTTGGCATTAGTTAACCTTTTTAAAAATTTTCAGAATTGAGGTATTTCATCTAATAGCATCTCAAGGTGCCTGGGTGGCTTAGTCGGTTAAGCATCCGACTCTTGATCTCAGCTCAGGTCTTGATCTCAGGGTTGTGCGTTCAAGCCCTGTGTTGGGCTCCACACCCAGTGTGGAGCCTAGTTTAAAAAAAATAGCATCTCTGTACCTGCTGTATGTTTAAGTGAGTGAAAGGAAATTGTCCTTTTGGAAAATATGACCTAGTATTTCACAATTTAAAACTTGACATGGATCCTCAGTGCAGTGTTTGGTAGGATAAGAAATTGAGATCTTAAAAAAAAAGGAATTGAGATCTTCAATTAGAACTGGGTTAACTTTCATTAGCAAAACTTATTTGTATCTAAAAACATTATTTTGTCAAGTTCACTTGTCAACTTATGTTGATGGAGTTGATCCATTGTTGGAAATACTGCATATGCTCTGTCAAAGGAATGAAAATGTTTTACTATTCAGCCAGCATCATCAGATAAATTATTTCATTGATGTTCAACTGAATATTTGAGATTGAAGGACATCTTTATGAAGCAGCCACTATTCGGTTTGATTATCAGCAAGTGAAACAATGATAGGACTGAAGGAAATGTTTTACTTTATTTGTATGGAAGTTTGGCAAAAATGAAATTTATACAACCCTACATAGAAGGGCATATGAGTAAAGGTTTTTTGTTTTTTGTTTTTAAAGATTTTATTTATTTGACACAGAGAGAGAGAGCACAAGCAGGGGGAGCGGCAGGCAGGCAGAGGGAGAGGGAAAAGCAGGCTCTCCGCCGAGCAAGGAGCCCGACGCAGGGCTCGATCCCAGGACCCTGGGATCATGACCTGAGCTGAAGGCAGCTGCTTAACCGACTGAGCCACCCAGGTGCCCCTATGAGTAAAGGTTTTTAAAAATAAACTTTCTGAGCTTTGATAAGAGTATGTAAATTAATGTAAAGTCTAGAAAACTAGACTTGTAGAAAATCAGCATTTTTGCCCAGAACTCTTAATAAGTATGAAGTGTATAGAAGGTAGAGTATGCCTGCTACTGGACTAAGTTTAGTATATTTTAAGAATTTAGAAGCTAGTTTGTTTAAAATACAATCTTTGTAAAATTGTCAAATACAAAGGTGAAATTTACATATTTTACGTCATTAACATGTAGCCTTCAGAATGTATATTCAGATATGTTTTTCGAACCATGATACTTAACCGTTTTGTCATAGGTATTCTTAAAAATGTGATAAAAGTCATAGATTATTGCAGAAAAATTGTATATGCAATTTCTAGGGGTTACTGTAGCCCTTCTTGAAGCCTGCTGTGGATGCAGGTTAAGACCCCTGACTTTATTGTGATGAGCACTGGGTGTTAAACGCAGCTAGTGAATTGTTGAACACTGCATCAGAAACTAATGATGTACTGTATGTTGGCTAACTGAACATAAAAAAAGAACAACCCTCACTTTAAGGTGTTGGCTGTATAAGTAGTATTTAAATATTATGATATTATGCACTATGATTTACTGAAATATAAGTGGATTTTAAAATGTGTTAAGGATTGAATCTTTTAGTTATGGAACCTTAATATAAGTAGAGATAGAGGCAAACAAGCTTATTGATAATTAATAACTAGCCTCTTCGCAGCACATTTTAAATTGACAAAGCAAATTTTACATTGAACATAAGTATTTCTATCACAAGTAAATCTGGGAAAGGAAAATTACTGTCTGAGACAGGTTTTCAACTTGATTTAATTTAGTAAGAATAGTTATGATTTGTTAAGTACTTCTAGGTCATTAAGGCGTTTTGCACATGTTCCCAGTTCTTAAAACGACCCCATGAGGTGTGCATGTTAGTTCCCTAATCTGAGGTGAGAGAACTAAATCTCAGGGACGAAATGTAATTTGCCCAAGAACACAGCCACCAAGTACCTGCTCAACCCCAAAGTCATTGGCCTGAATTCTTTCTTATACTGCTATGTTCTGAAATCAGTTTATTATCATACATTTGTCCAGATTGAATTGTAACTTTAATGACTATAATTTTTAATGGGTGAGGAGTAGTTCAAGCTACAGATTGAGGTAGTATGTGAATAAGCATTGAAAGTAGGTATAAAAGTGTGTTACTTTCTAAAAAATTTATCAAAGATCAAATTCAGATAGTTTTAATAGCATCTTGTCTAAGAATTTTTTTTTTCAGATTTTATTTATTTATTTGAGACAGCACAAGCAGGGGGTAGGGGAAAGGAAGAGGGACAAGCAGACTCCCCGCTGAGCAGGAAGCCTGATGTGGGGCTCAATCCCAGGACCCCAGGATCATGACCTGAGCCGAAGGCAGCCGCTCAACTGACTGAGCCACTCAGGCGCCCCTTAGTCTAAGAATGTTTTGGTTAACAATCTGATAATTGACGGTTGCAGCTACCAGATAAGGAGCATCCATTATGCACTCAGCATTGTACTTGGTGCATTTTGTATTTTATTTCTAATCCTTCTTAACAGTCCTGTAAAATTTGTCAGATTTTTATAAGTTAAAATAACAAATGCCCGGAGATTACCTGATGTAAATTAAATAAATATATGATAAAATAAAAAGCTGGCATTCAGATCAGGTCTCTGAAATACACTTTAACTATGGAAAGAGAAATCTCAACTGAAAATAAGCTAGTGACGTACACCTACTCCTTTCTCTTTCCCAGTAGCCGAGCATTTTATAGTTGTGATTGTGTACATGGTAGGGTTTTTACTTAACCTTATTTCTTAATGAACATTTCCATGGATCATCATAATTCGTAAGTTCAATCTGAATCTGAAAGCTTGCTTAATTGAACATTGCCTCCTCTCAGGTGTTAGATTTTAGTTTTCAAAATTTGCACTTATCAGTGCTTTCTAGAAAACAGGCTGAGAACTATCAGTGGACCATAAAATCAATTTATTCTGTATAATAAAATAGAAAATATAAAAGTAAGGGATAGTGTTGATTTGTAAATGTTAATATTTTATTGTACTAGTATTATCTATAGACACATGAATGTGGTTTAGAAATATGAAATACTTTTCTTGCTATGGATTGTGGAAAGGTGGAAACCACTGCTCTAATCAATAGTAATGCTACATAGTAGCTATCTGTTTCCTCTGCCCCTTGTTCATAAACAACACCCAACTTTTCAATTATATTTGTGTATGGTTTCCCCCCAAATTGAGCAGCATTTTAATAGCCCTTGGTGTGTAAATTGCCAAATTGCTTTCTACCAATATGGTACTTACATTGCTGGATCAAGAAAAACAGTACAGGGCGCCTGGGTGGCTCAGTTGGTTAAGCGACTGCCTTCGGCTCAGGTCACGATCCTGGAGTCCCGGGATCGAGTCCACATCGGGCTCCCTGCTCGGCAGGGAGTCTGCCTCTCCCTCTCACCCTCCCCCTTCTCATGTGCTCTCTCTCTCTCTCAAATAAATAAATAAAAAATCTTTAAAAAAAAAAAAAGAAAAGAAAAACAGTACAAAGTAAGCACGCCACACTTGCTGAGATTGAAAAATGAATACATTTTAGATTGTACATTTATTTTAGATAACCTATGTTTGATGAGGATTCAAACTTTTTTTTTTTTTTTTTAAAGATTTTATTTATTTGAGAGAGCATGAGAGTGGGGTGAGGGGCTGAGGGAGAAGCAGACTCCCTGGGACTCTATCCCAGGACTCCAGGATCATGACCTGAGCCAAAGGCAGACGCTTAACCAACGGAGCCACCCAGGCGCCCTCAAACATTTTAAATGAGAAAATTGGTTGGAGTTGAGGGTTGGGGTAGAGGTAACCAGCTGGTTTTACTGTTGGCCGTCATTCTTTTAAAAGATCCATGCTGGTTCTAAGGAAGGATTTTGGCTTATAAAGACTTGACTTTTTAGGGACAATTATCTGCATGTTCACACCTTGGATCATCTGGCCTTGTATAATGGAAATGAGCTCAGATATAGTAAGTTTGGAGATCTAGGGCTATCTTCTGTAATTTGGGACAAGTTATTACACTTAGCATGAGTTCCCACCATGGAAATAGAGATGATGACTATTAAATAAGATGAACATGGCACTCATGAAGGGCTTTACAGTGGGGCCTTGTGTGTGTTGGATGCATGGTAAATCTTTCCCCTTATTCTCACAGATCATTCAGCCCAGTGTTCTGATGTAACAGTGAGTGAGCAGGGTCAGGATTTGATCTTGGTTTTTGATGACTCCAAATGAGTATTGCTCCTGTGAAAGATTCATGTACAAGTTTGTGTGTTCAGTTTTCTTGGGAATATACCTATGAGTTGGAATTGCTGGGTCATGTGGTAACTGTGTAACTTTCTAGTGAACTGCTAAACTTTTCCAAAACACCTGGCGCCATTTCACATTCCCACCAGCTGTATATGAGGGTTCTAATTTTAATTTCTCTGTATCCTCACCAATGCTTACTTGTCTTTTTTATCATAACCATCCTAGTGGATCTGAAAGTGGCATCCCATTGTGGTTTTGGTTTAGATGTACCTAATGTCTAATAAATGATGTTGGGTGTCTTCTTATGTACTTGGCCATTTGTGTTTGTTAGTCATTGGAGAGATGTCTGTTTAAATCCTTTGCGCTTCTTTAAAATAGATTGTCACTTTTATATATGGTGTGAGGTAGGGGGTCTAAATTCATTCTTTCACATGTATATATCCAGTTGTCCTAGCACTATTTGTTGAAAAAACTATTCTTTCCTCCATTGAATTGTCTTGGCACTGTTGTTGAAAGTCAGTATCTAAAGTGATCATATTGCTTAGTGCAAAAGTATTGTGCCAAGGTGTTAAATATCTTGGTCTCTACCTTTGACAGCCTCATGGCACCTTTCTAGCTAAAGGAAGGATCCTGGTCCTGAGTCAGATCCAGTTAGTTTTCTGTTAAAAAGACTACTTAGTGTTCGTTGGCATGGAATTAGGTGCATTAGGTTAATTTTTTAATTAAGTTCTTGGGGTGCCTGGGTGGCTCAGTTAGGTGTCCTGACTCTTGATCTCAGCTCGGGTCTTGATCTCGGTCATGAGTTTGAGCCCTGCATTGGACTCCACGCTCGTTGTGGAGAATGAATGAATGAATGAAGTTCTCTTTGTGTACATTAATGCATTTAATCATGGATTATGCATGAGATATATAGCATGTCTGGGTTTTGAGGGCATGAGATTTCATTAGAGGTTCTTGTGTTCCTTTATAATGGATTTTCTTTTTTTTTTTTTGGTTTCTCGTGGAAGGATATGTGATTTTATGAATTTTCATTTCTAGCAACTAAAAAAAAATCAGAAGTTGGTAACAGTCAAGTAAGAGATAACGTACTAGATCTTGTAAATATATGGCATTAGGAGCAGATTCAGATAAACAAGGATTTAATAGTAACCAAAAATAGGAAATGAAGCACTGCATAGATCGTAATGTAGCGAGAACTTAAAATGCTGGTTTTAGAAGGTTTGTTCAGTTACACTTATGTTCACGTTGAGTGAATGAAATTGTTCTAATACTATTTTTTCTGCTTTCATCACACAGGGAAACCAGAGTTACTGAGGAGAAAGCCTTCCTGTGGTGCTCAGCTGACCCTGGACCTTCTCTTCACTGTGGGATGAGGTAGTAGGTTGTATAGTTTTAGGGTCACACCCACCACTGGGAGATAACTATACAATCTACTGTCTTTCCTAACGTGATGGAAAAATCTACATCCCAGCGGCCTCATAGAAAGTTGATAACTAGTTATATAATATTTTAACTTGTATAAAAATGCTATAGTGCAGCATTTTTTATGTTTTGCAGGTTGCTTACTCATTTAATGATTAAAAACTTTAACAAGTACACCTAGATAGCAGTGGGGATACTTTGTTTCTCGTTTCTGTATATAAGAATAAGTGTATATTTTAATTTGATTGATGCCGATAATTTTATTTTATATTTTTCTTTTGAAAAAGATTGTGTTCTCCATTCTACAAGAAAAGATTGCTCTATCAGAGTGAGGTAGTAGATTGTATAGTTGTGGGGTAGTGATTTTACCCTGTTCAGGAGATAACTATACAATCTATTGCCTTCCCTGAGGAGTAGACTTGCTGCATTTTGTCTTTATCTAGATGATATTAAAACTCAGAAGAATTAATTTTGACATTGTTTTGTACTCTATATCAGTTGCTAATTTTCTCTTGAAGGATTGTGTACCTACAGTAGATATAGTGATCTAATATTTTTTACATTTCACATGTGTCAGAAATTTGAAATTAAACAAAAATCTGAGTGGAGAAAGTAAATCTTAACGGGACTAAGCCCCCTTGGAATTAAGAATAGGTTGATCGCTCTGCATCCCACTGCATGTATCCAGGACGAGGTCCTGGGTGGCAGCAGTAAATACAGACTGGAAAGGCACCCTCTGAGCTGAAATGGAGTCAGTTTGCTTATTACTCCCAGTTTGGGGTTTTGGGTGGCCTTCGGCAATGTTGTAAGCAAGCACTGTTTCACTGGTATGTTGATTTGGACAGCTTCACCTCCAGCCTGGGAAATGAGCAATGGGCTCTGGGTCCTACCCTTGCTCCTGGTAAGTCACAAAGACCTCAGCTTTGCCCCCCATAGGGTCCCTTCATTCACAAAGGGAAATCCCCTGAAGCTGTCAGATGGGGAAATCCATAGTTGGTTGTTTTAAAGGAAAATGTGAGGATCATGCTAGAAAGGGCTATTTGAGTTTTAACACCCCCGAAGGCCAGTGTTTCAGCCTTCTTCAGTGGCCAAACCGTATCCTACCTTGGGCCTTTGTAATCAAGCAATACTAAAAGCTCCCTGTTAAAAGCACTTGTGTTTATTTTGTTTTGGGAGAAGAGAAAGCAGCAACGTATGGAGGTGAGGGAAAGGTAACCTCTTCCCAAATGTTTCCTCGATCTGTTCCGAATCTTATAAGATAATTCTAGTGCATTGCCATTGGCAGCAGGAACTTTGTGTTAGAGAAAACATCCAATTCTTTTGGGTGGGCCCGGCCCAGGTGATCTCTCTGGGCTGAATTTATGCTTTTTATTTTATCCCTGGGGTTTAGATGGGACACCTGCATAGTCCAGAGTTTGTTTTTGTTAGAAACAGGACATACAGGGGAGGGGGGAGACCCTTTATGTTCTTACCTTTTGGTGTGCCAAAGAAAAGTGGGAACGTTCAAGAAATCTCTTCGGCTTAATTTTTGTGAAGCTGATAAGGTGAGTAATTCACTGTGTGGCTAGTGGAGTCTTGGGGTTTTGGGGTTTTGTGACACATGTTGCCTCTGGTCTGGACGTCCTGGCCACTCTGCAGTTGGAATGATTAAGGTCTGGAGAAACATGAATCTGTATCTTTCATTAATTAACAAGGGCCCACTTCATATCCTTACTATAAGCCAAGCCCAGTAAGTAAATCAAGTTGTGGAGAACTGCTACAGTCTGTGAAAGCACTTAACTCAAATCCCGGGGCCCAGGAAGGGGCCTGGCTGGAAGTAGGAAACACTTGGTGTCCAAAGGGAACTTGGTAAGTTAATGTGCTCCAGTGGAAGGTGGCAAACAGCATTTACACATACAGTGTCACCTCATTTTCCAGTGGCTCAAGAGAGGCTGGAGATTTTGTGAAATTAGATACTTAAGTTTTGGTAATCCTTTGTTTTTAAAAAGTCTTTGGCTCCAACAATATGTGGTGGGCTGGGAGATATTAGGCTTCTGAGATTTTGCATCTTCTGATATAATTGCATTTTTGTTCTTTTGAACAAGAGGCTTATTTTTAAGCAAATGCATTTGTGAATTTTACCAAGGTCATGGCCAGTAACTTTTATTTAAAAGCCTCAGTGAAGAAATTCTAATTGATTAGAATTTGGAATAAAACCCAAAGAATACGGCCTGATTTGACAGGTTAATTTGAAGTACAGCTGCCAAGTAGAAGACCAGCATGGAAAAAATGGGTTCCTAGGAAGAGGTAGTAGGTTGCATAGTTTTAGGGCAGGGATTTTGCCCACAAGGAGGTAACTATACGACCTGCTGCCTTTCTTAGGGCCTTATTATTCCTCAGTAACCTGTTCCTTGTCACCTTGTTCGGTGTAAGCACAGTTCTTCCTGCGAGTTTTCTTAGAAGTAAAAATGTTGCAGGAATAGCTGTGCCCATGTTAGTGACTTAACAGACCACAGCCAGTGCCAGCGTTGGTTACTACAGAGTTAGAATGCAGGACTCCAAGGAATACCTGGTTGCTTATGTGCCTCACTTGGAGGTCACTGGAAAGTTTTGGAAAACAGGTTTTTGGGTTTTGGTCAAGTTGCCGTTTCTGATCTAGAAACTGCCAGCTGCTTCCCCCGTTAAACTTAATGAAGGCACCGGGTCAGGCCATCGAGACACCTGCTGCTCCCTACACTGTGTGTGCAGGTATTTATCTTGCGAGGGTCTGGGTCTGGACTTAAAGTTTGGGCAGCTCTTAGGGTGGTGTTGCATGTTGTGGGAATCCATCATTGCCTTGAGCACCATTATGGTATGTAACCCTGTGATTGAATCTTAAATGTGTGCATGGGCATTAAGTATCTTTTCAATAAAATACTACTTTTAAAACTCGTGGTTCTAAAATCATTCTTAACTTTCATCTCCATCCTTGCAGAACTAGATGTATTTAAGTATTTAGACTTGTTTTAAAATCTCTTAAAGTACTTAATTTCGTTTTTTTATGCACAGTAATTTGCTAATCATACTATTCACAGATGTACATTAATAAAGCTAATGAGCCATATCCAACATTTCCATTTTTACAAGCGCTTGTGTCTCTGTGCACGCAATTATATATGCTTGGGATGCCCCCACTTTCTTGGGAGTAATTTTTTTGTATCTCCTCAAGCAGATAGAACCTTGCAAAAATTGCTGTCCTTCCTCAGTTCCCCAGTATGGTTCAAACATCTGTTGAGCATGGGATGTGTGTGCATTAGCATCCCAGCACTAGATTTAATTTATTGCAAACTACTTGGAACAGTGATTAGAAGGTTCCAGAGTGGAAAGGTTGAAGGGGCATTCAGTGGAGTTGCACATCCTGTCGCCCTTAGAGGATGTTCAGGGGAGGAAAGGTCAGGAGGTGGGTTCTAGGCATAGTCTACAGCTCTGGGGCTTTAAGTTTCTCTGTAAATTGAGATAGTTGGATGTGGCTTCCAAGATGCTTTTTACATTGTGTATCCTTTTAAAATAAAAGATTTGAAAGATTTCAGTTGATGAGCAAAAATACATAAATTTTGTGTACACTGATTTGAGTGAAAAATGCATAGGGAAAGCGAGAAAGTGGAAATGGTACTGGCTATATACTAAGATTGGGGGTGATTCATCAACATTTCAGATTTCTTCTGCTTTTGCTTCTAAAAGTATTCTGAATTATTTCCAACCATCCTCATGGGCCATGCCAACCAGACCTCATTTTTTCCTCCATACCACTGAACTGACTTTCCATGTGTTCTTGCTCCCTTGCTCCCCCCCCCATTTTGTTTCCTTCCACAACAGCCTTCCACTGTTGGGGTCTTGGTGAGAGGGGAGCTGAGGGGGCCCCCTGAGCATTGGCCAGTGGTGCTCAGCAATGTCAGCTGGTTGGATGGCCCACCTGAGGGAAGCATCTGCTGGATGTGGATGCTGAGATCCTGCCTCTTGTTTGAAACCCATAACTGACAATTTCAGTTTAAAGGCTATTTTTCCCTAAGGAAGAGGGTGTAGGGGTAGAGTAGTGGCTGTGAAGACTGGGGGTTAGAGAAATCAGTGTTTCAAAGAAATACCAAGCCTGTAGGAAGCATCCTGACCAACATCCTAAAAGTTCTAGCTTCTCTTCCATCCTCAGCACGTGGTTTCCCTTCTCGAGATGTCCCCTTTTTGTCACGGAGACTGCTCTAAACTGCCTGGCAGCCTTTTGAGGAGTTCTGGGCAGTGCCGCCTATTGACCCCTCTGCCAACAGTGGGTGATTGTCACATGTGGGCAGGCCATTTCCCCAGCAAGGAGACAGAGGAGGAGGCGTGCAGGGAATTGGAGCAGAGGGTGTTAGGAAGGAATGTAGAGAGGGTGAGTAGGCCCTGATCCACACCTGCCATTAACACTTGCACAGCAGATTTCCAGCTGAGGCAGGAGGTCTAGTCGGAAGGGCTGTGGGGCTCCACCTCTCCAGTGAGCAGCTGAGCTGCTCAGGAGGCCTGTGTGGGCCCTTGGCCTGGTACAGAACTAGAGCTAATAAGGCATTTCCCCCCTTAACGTTTTGTTTGGAACAGTTTTAGGTTTGGGGCACATGGGTGGCTTAGTCGGGCTTAAGTGTCTGCCTTCGGCTCAGGTCATGATCCTGGGGTCGTGGGATCAAGCCCCCCCCCCCCAGTTTCCTGCTCAGTGGGGAGTCTGCTTCTCCCTCTGCCCCTCACTCACATGCTCTTGTTCTCAAATAAAATATTAAAAAAAAAAAAAAACGTTCTAGGTTCACAGCAAATGCAGCAGAAAGTACGGAGTTCACATAACCCTGCTCCTCCCCCTCCAAACTTCGCTCCACCGACACCTGACCACTATCGTCTTAAAGCACATCGTTTCTCCCTTTGCTTGAAGTTCTTCCGCCACTGGAATTAGGCTCAGAAGCTTAGCTTGTTGCCCC